GGGTGAAAATGATGGAGGGATTAAGCAAAGAAGAAAAAAACTCAGACACAGGCAACAGTATGGTGATTACCAGATGGAAAGGGGGTGAGGGGGAGGGAGAAGAGGGTAAAGAGAGGATAACTGGAGATGAAAGGAGATTTGACTTGGGATGGTGAACACACAATACAATATACAGATGATGTATTATAAAACTGTACACCTGCAACCTATACAATTTTATTAATCAATACAGTCAATTAAAAATTTTTAAAAAGAACATATAGAAGAAATCATAAAGAAAAACAAAAAAATAAAAATAAGGCAGCCTGTATGACCACATCAGAATGTTACAAAGGTAATTTCAGCTATAATGTGGAGAACTGATGGCGGGAGAAGGGGATGGGTGGGTCAGATGGCAAAGCTAAAGGCAGAGAGACCAGTCACAGAAGGAGATAGTCCCAGAAATCCCAGTGGCCCAGACTAGGATTGGGGTTGGGACAGGGAGGGGATGAGGGAATTGGAGGTAATGAAGAAGGACTGATAACACCCAGTGACTTCCGTTTGTGGGGGAAGAAAGTAGAGAATCTCAGTAGGCCCACTCTGCTCTGTTGTCCCCTTCCCAGGTTTTCTGGCAAAGAAGGGAGAAAAGAGAACCAGAAACATGGGGCTGAGGTGTCCCAAGGCAGTGGAATCCCACAGAAAGGGGGAAATGCTAGTGGCCAATTCTTCTTGCCCAGCAAGCACCAGCAGCCACCACTGCCTGAGTGCTGTGGCAGCTGGCAGCTAAGTCTGGGATCTGGAAGATCTCTACTCACCAAATCCACCCACTGCCACTTCCTCTGGCCAGACTCTTAAAACACACACAAGCCCAGAACAGTTCTGAGACTTGGTTGCCACCTCTTCTCTGGCTGTTTCCTCTCTCCAGCCAGGCAGCATCTAAAAGGCTTCCTGAGCCTGGCTGGTTTCGTTCAGCGGTTGGAGCATCATCCCAAAGACCAAAGGGTCTTGGGTTCAATTTCTGATCAGGGGGTTGCAGGTTTGATTCCCGGACCCAGTCGGGGTTGTGTGGGAGGCAACTAATCAATGTGTCTCTCTCACATCGATGTTTCTTTCTCTCACTCTCTCCTGCCCTCCCTCCTTTCCATTCTATTTAAAAATCAATAGAAAAATATCCTTGAGTGAGGATTATAAATAAATAAATAAATAAATAAATAAATAAATAAATAAATAAATAAAGAGGTGCTGCGGATGGGAGTGGAAACATGGGGCAACTTGTCAGAACCAATCACCATTTTATAAACACATCCTTCTCTTATTCCATCCATCTATTCTTTTTTTTTCTTTTTTTTTTATCCTCACCCGAGGATATTTTTCCATTTTTTGTACAGATAGAGTGGGAGGGAGAGAGAGGAAGAGAGAGAGAGAAACATCGACGTGAAGGGACACATCGAGTGGCTGCCACCCGCACGACCAACCAGGGCCGGGGACAAACTGCAACCGAAGTACGTGCCCTTAGCGGGAACCGAACCCAGGTCTCTCCGGACCGCAGGCCGACGCTCTAACCGCTGAGCCAAACTGGCCAGGGCATCCATCTATTCTTACATTCACACGGGACTATACAGTCATCCACTGCAGCCATTTCTGACTGGGAAAATTTGGAAACAAGCTAAAAGTCCATCAAAGGGGTTAAACTAAATGAGCTATGATGTAAACAGAGAATGGACCACAGCTATCAAAAACTGCCCTGGCCATTTTGGCTCAGCGGTTAGAACTCCAGCGGACCAGAGTCCCGGGTTCGGTTCTCGCTAAAGGCATGTACCTCGGTTGCAATTTGTCCCCAGCCTCAGTTGGGGCCATGAGGGTGGCAACCAGTCGATATGTCTCTCACATCGATGTTTCTCTCCCTCTTACCCCTCTCTCCCTCCCGCTGTCTTAAGATAAATGCAAAAATGTCCTCGGGTAAGGAAAAAGCAAAAAAAAAAAAAAAATTAAAATAAAGAGCTCCCTGTGCTGATATGAAAGGAACACCAAGACATGAGTATGTGAAAAAGTCACACAATGATACACATAATAGAACTCGTGTCTTACACACATAGAGCTGAACTCCTTTTACAGCAATGACAGTTGGGGAGGAGAACAGGAGAAGGACAAAGGGGGAACTTTCCTCTTTCACTTATACATACATATGTGCACACTTCTAAAATCTTTGAATTTTTACTAACAGGACAAAATTCCAAGTAAGTGATGCTGGAGCCAAGACAACAGCAGCTTAACTGGGTGTTACCCACAAGTTCCTCTCAAACTCCAAGAAGGGCCACTAAGTGAGGGAATAAACACATCTTTTCTCTTGTTAGTCTCAAAGATGAAAAGGTGGTGTGGTGGGTGCTGTAGGGTGCACTGGCGTGAAGTCCCAAAGACCAAGATTAAATCCCAGCTCTGCTATGACTGCTTGGATGACCCTGAAGAGGCCACTGAGCTTCCTCAGAACAGTTTTCTCATCTGTACTGAATGGCAGAGAGCATTACAGCATGGACTTGAAAGCCGACAGACCAATCCTGCCACTCACGGGCTGTGATCCTAGATTAATCACTGACCTTCTTAAAGCCTCCATTCCCACTTATTATTATTATTTTTTAAAAAGGAGTGGGGGTGGGGAATATCACTTACCCTCCCAGGAGGTTGAAGGGATCAAACGATACCACCTATCTAATACAGCCCAAGCAGTGTGGCTCAGTGGTTGAGCATCGACCCATGCACCAAGAGGTCGCCAGTTCGATTCCCGGTCAGGGCACATGCCCAGGTTGTGGGCCTGATCCCCAGTGGGGGGCATGCTGGAAGCCACCAATCAATGTTCTCTCTCATTGATGTTTCTATCTCTCCCTCTCCCTTCCTCTCTCTCTAAAATCAACAAAGAAAAAAAGTGCTTAATACAGTTCTTGGCACATAACTTGTGCTCAATAAACAGCAGCTGCTACATTACTGCTGAGTGAGGGTAATGACATTGGCTCTGCCTACGTAATGGGGGCATTGATAAGATCTAATGAGCTGTATGCTGAGAAAGAGCTCAGAAAAGTGAGGGGCACTTACATAAGGGTTCTTCTTCCAACCCCCTGAATTTTGCTCACTCCCACCCCAAGCCTCGGCTACCAAAGCGAAGATCCCTAGTGGGTGAGAATTGTGGCACACTGCCTTTATTCATCCTATGGGCAAAATTCTAATCAGTTTTTCATTTGGGTCCCTACCTCAAATAGGAAACAGCAAATCAGAAAGAGACAGTCAGAGAAAGATGGGCCTCTAGAACATACTGACTTCTGCTAATAATACCCCAGCTGAGGAACCCTCAAACTCCTCTGGGCCCATCACTGGACCCCTTCAAACCCTCACAACTCTGATGGCTCTTCAGGGAACCTACAAATGGACCCACGCATGGTCACAAAATCCAGCCTAGCTCCTCATGCTCTTCCAAACATCATCTCAGGGCACATACCTCTCCCAAGCTACTCCACAAACCAAGGGATCCTTTCCCAGAAACTTCCACAAACACTCATCTCCCCTCAGGATCCTTCTACGATGCTTCCTCCTGCTGCCTTCCCGCTCTACAAAATGCCCCCCCTGCCACCCCCAGATACCCCTGAATTCCTCATTGTTCCCATCCCAGGTCCCCTGGTCCCCACGATAGACATGTCTCCCCACCCCCAGTCCAGGGTTCTCCACCTGCCACCCTACACACATCTCCCATCTCAGGACCATCTCCCCCATTTCTCCACACCCCCAAACTGGAGTTTCTGCTCTCAAGCTTTTCCCACACAGGCTCCTAGGGCACGTCCTTGGGACCCCTTCCCTGCACTCGGTAGCCACACATGCCAGAGCTCCCCAAAGTTTCCTCCTCAGCAGAGGAGGGCACAGGCCATCGTCCTGGAACCCGGCAGACCCTGCCGTCCAGAGTCCTCACACAGCCATCTTTCAGTTCCCTCCTCCAAACATTCCGAAACACACCCCGTGTCCCAGGCTCCGCGACTTCCTCTCCCTGTTCAGGCCTCGTCCCAGCCGGAACGCTCTGGCCCTCGGCGGGTCCCACGTCCCCCCGACGCCCCATCTGCCCCCCGCAGCCCAGCCCGCACCGGGTCGGACAGGGGTGGGCGGCCCTCGGCACGCACCGAGTTCTGCTCACTCCCACACAAGCTCCTCCAACAACTCCGCTCAGCACCCTGGGCTGTTCTCCTGGGCCCCCTCCAGGCCCCGAGGCCACTCTCAGGACCCGCCGGCCGGTCCGCTCACTCCCAGCGCCACTTCCAACGGGTTCTGGTCCCCTGCGCCCCTTCTCCCCGCCGGCCGCGGTCGGACCCTCTGGCCCCCGGGCCCCAGGCCCGCCGCGCGGCGCCCCCAGGACGCTCTCCGACGGCCCCGCACTCCCGCTCCGGGCCGGTCGCGGTCCCCTCCCGCCCCCCCGGCCGTCCCGGCGGCCATTGCTCCAAGATGGCGGCGGCGGCGGCGGCGGGTGAGGCCGGGCCGGGACGGGCGGGGGGTCGGGGGTCCGGGGCGGCTCTCACCTGCAACTCGGCGCGCTCGGCCTCCCAGCGGGCCTTCTCTGCTTCGAAGCGCGCCCACTCGTGCTGGATAAAGTGCAGGATCCCGGGAAGGCTCAGGGGCTCCGGCCCCGCTGTGGGCACGGGGCTGCCCCCGCCGCCGCCTCCCTTGGCAGCCGGGCCGGGCCCGGGGGCGGGGGCAGAGACCGGGACCGCCCCCGTCGGGCCAGGGCCCGCGCCCGAGCCGAGCGGGCGGCAGGAGGAGGCGGCGGCGGCGACCGCGGCGGCCGCTCGCTCCTCCATCATGGAGGCCCCGGGCCGGCCCGCGCGCCCGCTGTGCCTCGCGCGCCTGCGCGGCCGCGCCAACCCCCCGCGCGCGCACTCGGCGGGGGCCGGGCGAGCCGGGGGTGGGGGGGCGGTGACGGGAACGTGGCCGGGCGCGCGCCTCGCCCACCCGGGTTGACTCCGAAGGCGCACGCACGGGTGGGAGGGAAGGGGGCGCGCGCCCGAGGAGGGAGTTGCGGGACTGTGGGGAGGGGCTGCGTTCTGCCCCCGTTCTCCCGCTTCCCAAAAGAAAGATTCTAACCCTCTGCAGACCCAATACCACTCCTGGACTATCACTGTCATTCTGAGATAAAGGGCGACCACCATGCATGGCCCCATCCTCAGTGATTCCTGGCCCAGGTCGGTTGTCATGGTAACCCCAACCCCAGCCTAGAACACCACACTTTTGTGGTTATGGAGTCTCAAACCTCTTTTGTCCCTGCACCAGGACGAGGTTGCAAAGATGACCTAAATCCCTGGTGGCCCTCTGCCCATACCCTCATTGGTTACTATGGCAACCTCACCTAGCACTCAGGTAGAAAGGACCCAGCCCCAAGGACACTGATTACTAAGGGAAGCACCTCTTTACCATCCCATCCTCCTAGCCACTCAGTTGGCATTACCATGGTAACCATCTCCCCTCCTTTCCCATGGTGGGAGATCCATGGACCAAACCAACCAGGTATTTTTATTTAGAGGAGAAGGTGCTCTGCTGAGGAGTAGTTACTATGGTTACAGGGCCCGATCATCCCTAGGGAGGTGAAACACAGGCAAGGCCAAGCCCTGGTTACTATGGTAACAGCGGCAGTCTCCCTTCCAGTGACCCTAGGACCCAGACCCACCAAGGTAGGAGACGTTTTAGGATTGTCTCTCAGGATGCAGTGGGTCTAGGGAAGCAGTTGTCATGGTAGCAGCTTCTGTCACTTCTAGCTCTACCTTTCTGGACACAATCAGGAGAGAGGGATAGTTATAGGTTGCTATGTAGTGTCTGAACTTATAGGACTGCAAGCGAAATGATTCCCTGGCCTCATTGCTACTTTTGTGGATACGATGAAATTGTGCTCTACAAAATTGGCTGATTTGGTGTTTTCTGGTTTTCCTTCCTCAGCAGTGCAGCTGAGCAGGGCTGAAACTGCCCTCTTGGAGCTCCCCCAGCCTGCAATGTAGGAGGTAAGAAGTCTCTCAGTGTCACCAGCATTCATGTGGACACTTCCCTTTCCTTGCCCCCAAAGGCTTTCACACATACCTTCTCTCTACCCATTGCATTCCCATTCTACAGATGCAGCAACTGAGGCTCAGGCCAGATCAGAGCTCAGACTAGGTGAGCTCAGGCCTGAAGTGAGTCTGGACCCACTTACATTGTTTCACGGGGAATGGAGAGACAACGGGGAATGGAGAGACAAAGTCTCATCTTGTCTTCTTCCCAGACAACCATTTTTTCCAATCGTTTGTTTTTAGTGTTTGTTTACATTTATTTATTTATTTTGTTACAGATGTTTCTCTTTTTCCCCCATTGACACCCTCCTCCCAATCGCGCCCCGCCCACCCCTCCAGACCACCTTCTTTAAAACAAGCCCCTGTTTTTCTCTGCCACGCCCCCAGCTGGTTTCTTGTCCCACCTGTATATTGTTTTCCTACCTCTAGAGGCCCTGCACAGTTCACCCCTCTCCCTGGAATACAAGGTGTAGACATTCAATAAATAGCTTTGTTGAGTTAGTGAGTTGAATTCATTAATGTGCCATGTTCAGTTTTGAAAGCACTGGTCAGGTTAGAGGCCGGGAAGGCTCATGGAAGGTAGGCCCCAGAGAGACAGCAGAATTGATTGGATTAAATCACAGCTCTCGAGCCAGCCTCTTGGGTCAAATCCTGGGTCTATCACTTTCTAGCTCTGTGACATTGAGCGAGTGACTTCACTTCTCTGTGCCTCCTCAGTTTCTTCATCTTTAAATGTGATCATCACTTAAAGATTAAACAAGTTAATATGTGTAAAGTACTTAGAACAGGGGCTGGCATATTACGAGCCGTTAGAACATTCGGACCTTCAAAAATCATTTCATCCACCTTGCCTCAATGAAGGGGTTTTAAACCCCTTCAAAGGAAGGAAGCCAAGACTGACCTTGTGAAGGTATTAGATGATTCCTTTCTCCTTCCTCTTTGGTCCCCTCACCCAGTAGGTGGCACCTCCTCCCTGAGCCATCATATCCTCTGGTCTCTGAGGACCCAGTTTCTATGCTCTGTCTGTTGGGTACCTCCTGGCCCAGAAGCAGCCAAATGAAGCATGGACGGTAGAGAACTGGGTTCTGGTCCCTTCACCCTTTAAGTCTCTGGGCCACAGATTCCCTATCTGAACAGCTGCGGTCACTTGTTCAATCCTTACACATTTATTGAGCACTTGCTATGTGCCAGATACTGAGCTGTGCTCTGAGCATACAACAGGGAACAAAACAATAAACAAGTAAAATCTATGTGATAACTACCAGGGGAGAAAAATAACTCAGAGATGGGGCAGAAGAAGTATGTGGTGATAGGGAGATGCATTTTTAAATAGGGTGGCCAAAGGAAGGGCTGACTAGATGGGTGACATTTAAGCAAAGACCTGAAGGCCGTGGGAGGAGCCAGGTGGATACCTGTGGGGAAGAGCATCTGGGCAGAGGGAACAGCCAGTGCTGCCAAAGGAGTGGCCCAGGTTTATTTATTTATTTATTTATTTATTTTTTTTAATCCTCACCCGAGGACATTTTTTTTTCGATATTTTGTTCAGATAGAGTGGGAGGAAGAGAGAGAGAGAAACATCGACGTGAAAGCGACACATCGAGTGGTTGCCACCCACACGACCCAACCAGGGCCGGGGACAAACTGCAACCGAGGTACGTGCCCTTAGCGGGAACCGAACCCGGGTCTCTCCAGACCGCAGGCCGACGCTCTAACTGCTGCGCCAAACCGGCCAGAGCGGCCCAGGTTTATTTAAAGAATGGCATTTGGCGGTGGATGTGGCTGGAGCTGAGGGAGCCGGTGGAAGAGGGTAGGAGATCACATGGGATCTCATGGGCCACTGTGAAGGCTTTTCCTTTGAGTGATTTCAGGCCATAGAGGGTTTGAGTAGACACAGGACAGGATCTAATTCAAGTTCTAATAGGATCCCTCTGGGCTCTGAGTGGGGAACAGACTGTAGGGGACAAGGGTGGAGTGAGGATGGTCTCTTTAGAAGATTCTAAAAGCATCTTCTGTGCTTCTGTGTATCTAAGCTCTAAGATTCTAAGATGTTTAAGACTCCAAAGATTTCATGGTCCCAAAGCTTCCTTCTGCCCACAATAATAGGAGTTCTGCAAGGTCATGGGTGTTGCTTGTGTCTGTGTGTTGTGTCCACTGCTGTGTCCGCAGTACCTAGAACAGTGCCTGGCATGCTGTAGGAGTTCAACAAGTAGATGTTGATGGACTGAAAGAAGGAGGGATCTACCTAAGGTCTAGGGGCAATTCCAAGATTCTAAAGATGAAAGAGTCACTTTTTTAAAAACTGATTTTTAGAGAGAGTGTGAGGAATGGAAAGAAAGAAACATCAGTTTGTTGTTCCACTTATTTATGCATTTACTGGTTGATTCTTGCATGTGCCCTGACCAGGGATCAAACCTGCAACCTTGGTGTATTGGGACGATGCTCTAACCAACTGAACCAAAAGATACCACTTTTAAAGTGCAATTCAGATTCTTAAGTGACATCTAAGTTGGCTCAGAGAAGGGTCCGGGACAGGTGAAGAGGGGTGGGAGGACTTTCCTGGGAGGAGAGAGGGGAGACAGGAAGACTAGCACAGGGCTTCAGGTGCAGGGCCACAGTGCAGTTTGGCTGCAGGGACCTTAGTGAGCTTTACAGACACATGGAAATCCAGACTCTGGCCATCATTTTTTACCAAGTACATTTTCAGTGCCCAGACGTGTGCTAGGAAAACAGTGGTGATGGAGACAGCCATGGCTCTACCCTCCTGGGTCAAGTGGGGTAGACAGACCCATCCCCAGACAGTGCCAAACCAGAATGGGCAGGGTTGGGATGGGAGATCCCAGAGGGGAATTCTAACCCAGCTGGGGGTTCAGCGAGGGCTTCATGGAGGCCATCTGAGCTGTGCCCTGAAGCATAAGGAGTTCTCCAGCAAAAAACAGACATGGGGAAGAGGGTGTTTGAGAGGAGATTCTCCTAGGCAGAAGGAACAGAATATGAAAAGGCTTAGAAATAAGACATAGAGCCTGGCAAGTGTGGCTCAGTTGGTTGAGAGTCACTCCATGAACTGAAGTCACTGGTTTGATTCCTGGTAGGGGCACATGCGCCTACCATGGGTTGTGGGCTGGATCCCCGGTGCAGGGAGCAGCCAATCGATATTTCCCTCTCATGGATGTCTCTCTCTCCCTCTCCCTTCCTCTCTCTCTCTAAAAAATCAATAAAAACATATTAAGAAAAGAAATAAGACCTGTTTGAAGAAAAGCCCAAGGGGGCTAGCCATAGAGTTTGTGGAGGCATGGCCAGAGATGGGGCTGGCATGGTGGGTGGTCCAGGGCCCACAAGGCCTTGTGGGATGTTGTAAGAAATTTAAACTTTCTCCATAGGGCGCTGAGGAGCCTCTGAGCAGGGAAGGAGAGGTCATATTTGTGTTTTATGAAAACCCCTCTGGTTGCCACGAGGAGGGAACTTGGTCAGGAGACTTGGGAAGATTGGATGGGGATCTGGGTGGACGCAAGTTGAGGTGGGAGCTATGGGAATAGGGAGGAAGGATCAGAAGTATTTAGAAACTAGGAAGATTAGCTGGGTCTCTGATGTCCCCCTCCTGGGAGGAGCAGAAACCTATAAAAATCCATGGGGAGCTTTTTTTTTAGTATCAGCTCAGAACCCAGAAAGTTAGTTACACCTCCTGTGCTGGAGACCAGCCAAGTCTTCAAGTTGTAGTGGGAACAGGGAGACAGCGCCATCTGGGGGTTGCTTAGGTTGTCCAGTGAATGCGGCAGTCCCAAGACTGGCAGCCTCTTTCAGTGCAGCCCATTCCATTTAAAACGTGTGTGTTTACTTTTTTTTTTGGTATGTGCCCCTAGTGGGAACCGAACCCAGGATTCTCTGGTCCACAGGCCGACGCTCCAACCGCTGAGCCAAACCGGCCAGGGCAAAACAACAAGAATTTTATTGTGATAAAACACACATAACAAAACTTACCATCTTAACAATTTTAAAGTGTGTATAGTTCAGCAGTATTAAGCATAGTCACATTTTATACAAACAATCTCCAGAACTTTTTCTTCTTTCAAAATTGTAACTCTAAATCCACTAAACAACAACTCTCCATTTTGCCCTCCTCACAGCCCCTGGCAGCCACCATTCTACTTCCTTTTTCTGTTAAAAAAAACTAGTAGCCAACAGAAAAATTGGGATAATTCTTATTTAAGAAACCATTTCTAACTTGTAAAACTGAAACAATCTGGCTGACCATGAGGAAAGTGATGACCAGATGGCACAGGATTTGAGGAAGTGGGGGAGGGGAGGGCCAACGCTGAGGGCATCGGTCTCCCCCTGGAGCCCGGGGTAGGATATGGAAAGGACAGGAGAGAGCGAGCAGAGGTGTCTTCCTGGAGGAAGGAATGGTAGCGCAAAAGGTACAAGTTGGGCTTGGGAATGAGGTCTGGGGCAAATCTGAATGAGAAATTGACAATGAATAGAAGGAAGGGTGGGACTGAACAAGGAAAAAGGGAAGGTCACTCGTTTGATTAAAACTTACTCAGTACCTAATGTGTACCTGGCTCTGCTGAGTGGCCTTGGGGACCCAGCAGTGACCAACATAGGCTCCTCGTGGGTCTTATAGGTAGGAGGACAAGATGGGACCCTATGCAGTAATGACTTAGAATGGTGGGGCTCAGGTGGGGAAACTGGGGGAGAGGGTGCTGAGGGAGTCCAAAACAGGGTGCATGACCCAGCCTGGGAGGTCAGGGAGGGCTTCTTGGAGGAGGGGAGGTCAGAGCTGAAACCAAATAAAGAAAAGGCTGGAAGAAAAGGGCAGGGCTGAAGTTGGAGGGGTTGCTGACAACCAGCTCCAGCCCTCCTTTTCATTCCCACCTCCCCAGGATGTCCCGGAGGCCCAGCTAGGGCCTGACTTCGGCCCCATGCGGCTCACCCGCTGCCAGGCTGCCCTGGCAGCCGCCATTACTGTCAACCTTCTGGTCCTCTTCTATGTCTCATGGCTACAGCAACAGCCCAGGAACTCCCGGGCCCGAGGTCCCCGCCGTGGGACTGCTGCTGGCCCCCACGTTACGGTCCTGGTGCGGGAGTTCGAGGCCTTTGACAACGCGGTGCCCGAGCTGGTGGACTCTTTCCTGCAGCAGGACCCAGCCCAGCCAGTGGTGGTGGCAGCCGACGTGCTCCCCTACCCGCCCCTGGCACTGCCCCACATCGCCAATGTTCACCTGGCGGTGCTTCAGCCCTCCCTGGACCAGCCCGCTGCGGCCTCGCGCCCCGAGACCTACGTGACCACTGAGTACGTGGCCCTGGTGCCCGACGGGGCGAGGGCCGAGACTCCGGGCCAGCTGGAGCGCATGGTGGAGGTGCTCCGGGTGGGAGGTGCACGCCTGGTGGCCGCCCGGGTTGCCTCAGTCAACCCTGCCCGGTGTCTGGCCCTGAATGTCAGCCTGCGGGAGTGGACAGCACGCTACGGCCCAGCCCCCTCCGCGCCCCGCTGCGAGGCCTTGGAAGGGGACGCCGTGGTGCTCCTGCGCACCAGAGACCTCTTCAACCTCTCGGCGCCCCTGGCCCGGCCCGTGGGCACCAGCCTCTTCCTGCAAACGGCCCTGCGTGGCTGGGCGGTGCAGCTGCTGGACCTGACCTTCCCCGCGGCGCACCAGCCCCCACTGACCACTGCCCACGCACGCTGGAAGGCGGAGCGCGAGGGGCGCGCACGGCGGGCTGCGCTGCTGCGGGCGCTGGGCATCCGCTTGGTGAGCTGGGAGGGCGGGCGCCTCGAATGGTTCGGTTGCAGCAAAGAGACACCTCGCTGCTTCGGGACCGTGGTGGGTGACACACCGTCCTACCTGTATGAGGGGCGCTGGACGCCCCCGTGCTGCCTGCGCGCACTGCGGGAGACCGCCCGCTATGTGGTGGGCGTGCTGGAAGCCGCGGGCGTGCGCTACTGGCTGGAGGGCGGCTCGCTGCTGGGGGCGGCCCGCCACGGGGACATAATCCCATGGGACTACGACGTGGACCTGGGCATCTACCTGGAGGACGTGGGCAATTGCGAACAGCTGCGGGGGGCCGAGGCTGGCTCGGTGGTGGACGAGCGTGGCTTTGTGTGGGAGAAAGCCATAGAGGGCGACTTCTTCCGAGTGCAGTACAGCGAGAGCAACCACCTGCATGTGGACCTGTGGCCCTTCTACCCCCGCAACGGGGTCATGACCAAGGACACATGGCTGGACCACCGGCAGGATGTTGAGTTCCCCGAACACTTTCTGCAGCCCCTCGTGCCCCTGCCCTTTGCCGGCTTCATGGCACAGGCGCCTAACAACTATCGCCGCTTTCTGGAGCTCAAGTTCGGCCCCGGGGTGATCGAGAACCCCGAGTACCCCAACCCGGCCCTCCTGAGTTTGGCAGGAAGCGGCTGAAGCCACGACTCCCGTGCCCGGGGTCAGGGGAACCGTCCTTTGTCCTTTGTTTTAATGTCACTGGCATTTGGTAGACTGGCTGGGGATACCAAGCTGCCCTGCAGGGCCCAGCATAGTTCAGAACATCAAAGTCGTGCCCTGGGCTCCACGGCTGAGACAGAGTTTTGGAAAGAGAGGAAAAAAGAGTGCAGTTTCTGAGACCAGACTGCCACTAGTTAAGTGGCCCCGGGTGAGTGTCCCAATATCTCTGTTCCTCAGTTCCCTCCAGGATTCAGTGAATGCCCTGGTATCTAGCACATAAACAGCCCCCAGGACACTTGGCTGCTGAGGTTGCTTCTACCACTGGAGGGCGCCTTTGTCCTACTATGGGGCCAAAGGGATAGCAAACCCAGCACTTTCTGTTCCATAGTTTTTATATCTCTTAAGCCTTTGGTCTTCTCTCTAAGCCCCTGTGCCTGGCCAGACAGGATGACCATCTCCCCTTCTTCGGAATGCCACTTCCTTCCCTCCTGGGAGAGCCCTGGGGGGGTGCATGCTGCTCTTAACCCCATCTTGCAGAGGAGGAAACAGACTCGGAGCTCTGAAGTGCAACTGTAGTTCTGGATCTGGGGCCCACTCCTTTTCAACTGTTACCTCATTTTAGCTCTCTGCACCTGTTTCCCTGCTCACGAGGCAGGTAAACAATAATCACAGCTCACATTTACTGAGCACTTACTGTGTACCAGGCATTGTTCTCAGTGTTTCACACGGATTAACTGATTCATCCCTGTCCTCGACCCTCTCAAGTGAGAGCTGCTATTAGTCCCACTTTACAGATGAGGAAACCAAGGCCAGAACAGTAAAGACAGCTTGGGAAGTGGCAGAGTGGGAGCCCACACTGAAGTGGCCCATGGTGCCCCTCTCTAGTACTGGTACCCATGGGCCTCTTGTCACTTAGCAGAGAAAGCAATGGCTGCCTTCCTTTTGTGATCATGCACCTAAGAGTAAATACTGTTTGGGCATGTAACCTAATACGTGCACTTATCAATTATATACAGGTACTACTGTCATTCTGTATATTGGTAAAAAGGCTTAAATTATTTCATTTTTAAATTAAAAAATCAATGTAGAAGTTTTTGTTTACTTGCCTGATCCCAACGACTTGTTCCACACACCCTCTGGGTGTGTGCACCTGGCTTTTGAAACCACAGGCTCTGAAGTGGTAGAGACCTGGGTTCAAAGCCTAGCATTTCTGCTTCCTTCTGCTGTGACTCGCCTCTCTGAACCTCTGCTCTGCACCTGGGAAATGGGGTAATGAGCACGTTTGCTCCACATGGGTGCTGTGAGGCACTTGATTGTAAAAGGGTCAGGCGTCAGGGATGGGTTTGGATCGTGGTGTGGCCAACTACTTGCTTTGTGACCTTAGGCAAGTCACTGATTGGGTGAGGGGACTGAAGAGTGAAGCCCTTATAGGAGGCTTCACACACCAGCAAGAAAAGACAAATACAAGTTTGGCCCAATCTCCTGAGGCTCAGACGTCCAAAGCCTGACTTCTTATAATGCAGCCTCTGTTTTTAGCTTTTGATCGCACAAATAGCTCACAAAGAGACAGCTGGGTTCATGGAGCATTCTGGAAACATGGTGATGACTTGGGCTATTGCTTGTGGTTGGGCAGTGCTCTTGGTTCTTAGAAGACATGGCCTGGGGATGGAGGATGTCTTATAATATATGCAGGGCACCTGTACACAATAAAGCAGTGTCCCTTGTCACATACCATTTTCAAACTTTTATTTATTGATTGATTTGAGAGAGAGAGGAAAGGAGAGAGAGAGAAACATCAATTTGTTGTTCCACTTATTCATGCATTCATTGGTTGATTCCCATATGTGCTGTAACCGGGGATCGAACCCACAACCTTGGCATATCCGGAGGATGCTCTAACCAACTGAGCTACCCAGCCAGAGCATGCATCAAACTTTTAAATGTTCCTTTGTAATTGTCAGAATAATCAAAATGATCTATCTATAGATTCATATTTCTTTTTTTTTTTTTAATACTTTTTCTTTCTTGATTTTAGAGAGAGAGGAAGGAAGAGGGAGAGAGATAGAAACATCGATGAGAGAGAACGTCGACTGGCCACCTCCTACATGACCCCCATTGGGGATTCGGCCCACAACCTGGGCATGTGCCCTGACCAGGAATTGAACCAGCAACCTCTTGATGCATGGGTCGATGCTCAACCACTGAGCCACATCAGCTGGGCTATAGATTCATATTTTTTTAAGTTATTTGCCAAGAACATAAGTTGAAGCTCAACTCATTCTTAAATTATTTAATAATTCTATAAATTGTTGGTGTGATTTCTTTTTGTTTTTATCTTCACCTGAGGACATTTCTCCACCCTTTGTTCAGATAGAGTGGGAGAGAGAGGAAGAGAGAGAGAAACATCGACGCGAAAGGGACACATTGAGTGGCTGCCTCCCGCACAACCTAACCAGGGCTGGGGACAAACTGCAACCGAGGTACGTGCCCTTAGCGGGAACCGAACCCAGGACTCTCTGGACCGCAGGCCAACTCTCTAACCGCTGAGCCAAACGCCAGGGCAGATTTCTTTTTTTAATATATGTTTTTTCCATTCATTTTTAGAGTGGAAGGGAGGGAGGAGGAGAGAGACAGAGAGAAATATCCATGTGAGAAACACACATTGATTGGTTGCTTCCTGCACACACCCCAACCAGGACCCGGGATAGAACCTGCAACCCAGGTACATGCCCTTGACCAGAAATCGAACCAAGACCCTCCAGTTCTCGGGTTACGCTCTGACCACTGAGCATCACAAGGCAGGGCGGTGTAATTTCTTGATTATGAATATATACAGCTGAAAATCCACATCAAATACTTCTAGCAATTTCCCATAAAACTGAGAATCATTAAGTGACTTAAGATTTCAATAGATAAAGAATGTCTCTTAGTATCAACGATAGTGTTTTTGGTGTTTTCTCCTCTCTTTACTGTTTCTGAACTAACAGTAATTACATTAAAAACTTTTCTATCCCTTATAATACCATGTGATAGTTTTGTATAGACAATACCTTTATTATCCACTAAGTAATATGATAGAAAGCCCATCACAACAACTATCTTGAACTCATGAGTTTATAATTCAATTTATTATTGAATTTTATTGCTTTCTCGGTTGCTCTCATACTATTTATCAGCCAGAAGTGTTTTAATATTTTAACCAGTACATCCATACTAGTGCATACTAAGCAAATGTTAGCCTTACCTGTAAAACCTGAAGAATTATCTGAGCCCAGAAACTAACTCCTCTTCATGCGAACCAAAAAGTCCTTTTTGTAAGGTTTAAACAGGTTCTGAATTTTCCAGGAAGTATAGCTTCCATGTAAAATGAGGGAAGCCTGATGTCCTCTTTTGTTCAAAACTTGGCCAGAGATTGTCAACAAGTTCAGAAAATCATGTTCCATACGGCTCTTGGTAATTAGACACCAATACCACCTGTTTCTAGCCATGTCCTGAACTGCCTTTCTGACAGGTGTAAACATCTGGCTACCTCCTTGGGCTCTGGGAAGATGGTGCCACACATTCCCATATTGAAATGCATATTATAAATTTCTGTCCTCTTATTTCTCCATTTTACTACAATTCTGGCAATATGAGATTGGTTTTTGTTCTAGTTTTAATTTTTTTTTCTTTATTGATTTTTTTAGAGAGAGGAAGAGAGAGGGAGGAAGAGATAGAAACTCGATGAGAGAGAACATCGATTGGCCGCCTCCTGCATGGCCCCCACTAGGATTGGTCCCACAACCTGGATATGTGGCTCGGTATCAACCCACGCACCAGCAGGTTGCCAGTTCAATTCCCGGTCAGGGCACACGCCCAGGCTGTGGGCCCAATCCCCGGTGGGGGGCATGCAGGAGGCGGCCAGTTGATGTTCTCTGTCATCAATGTTTCTATCTCTCTCTCTAAAATCAATAAAGAAAAATAAAAATAATATTTAAAAAAAACAAACAAAATAAAATCATATGCAGTTGGGCTCTATTATCTATGAACTTTATTTTGAGAGAGCCAGGAGGACTTTCCTGATCTGACACAGCCAGCACATGTACTGGTGTAGCCAATGCAGGTGGTTTATACACAAAAAACACAAAAACATCAAATTATGGATTATTAATCCTTTGACAGATGGTCACTGCCATGAGTCCCCTATTATTACCCTCCTGGCTCTCCCTGGGGTCCCCTGGGCTTCTCCCTTGCCCAGCAGCCAAGGGATTAACACTGGGTACAGTGGGAGGGAAGGGGGTCCATGTTTCTGATGCTGTTGGATAGGGCAATGCATTTACCAAGTTGTAAATATTGTGTGTTTCCCCAGGCATTACAAAATACATGCTGTGAGCCCTGGCCGGTTTGGCTCAGCGGTTAGAGTGTCGGCCTGCGGTCCGGAGAGACCCGGGTTCGGTTCCCGCTAAGGGCACGTACTTCGGTTGCGGTTTGTCCCCGGCCCCGGTTGGTCGTGCGGGTGGCAGCCACTTGATGTGTCCCTTTCACGTCGATGTTTCTCTCTCTCTCTCTCCCTCTCCCTCCCTCCCACTCTATCTGTGCAAAAATTGGAAAAATGTCCTCGGGTGAGGATTAAAAAAAACAAAATACATGCTGTGAAAAGTGGATGGCACACAAAGACCTATGTGTAAATACACTTTTATGCACAATAGCCCCAAACTGGAAACCATCCCATGTCCATTAACAGGTGGGTACATTCAGACGAAGGAATACCCCTCAGCGATTAATGAAAGGAAAAAAGGAGTGAACCGCTGATCCCATGCTAAAGCGACTAAATCTCAAAAGCATCTTGCTAAGTAAAAGAAGCCAGACGCAGAAAGCTACTGTGAAATTCTAATCCTTAGTGACCCAGAACAAATCAGTGGTTGCCTCGGTCTGGGGGGTGGAGGGAGGAAGGACAGCAAAAAGGCACAGGAAATTTGGGGTGGTGGGGACATGGTGCATCTTGGTGGTGGTGGATTTATAAATTATAAATTTATAAAGTGTATGCATCTATCAAACCTCATCCAATTGTCTACTTTAATGGATGCAGTATATTGTATGTAATTTATACCTCGACAAGGTTAACCCACAATAAGCAGGGGTGGGGAAGAATCCAACAGGCCTAGAAACATTGATCTGTTGCCAGGAGAGACAAATGTGTCATTTCCCTGTGCCTACTTGACCCCCCGACTGCCACTCTGAGCCTGGAGCCCAGGCCCAAGCACAATCCAGGGCCAGCCTGAGCCCTCCCTCCCACGCCAGGCTCCTTGGAAGGAGCAAGAGGGCTGTCCCGGTCCCTGCCAGGGAGGTCAGTTGGTTAGAGCGTCATCCTGATACGCCAAGGTTGCGGGTTTGATCCCCGGTCAAGGCATGTACAAGAATCAACCAGTGAATGCATAAATAAGTGGAACAACAAATCGATGTCTCTCTCTCTCTAGAATCAATTTTTTAAAAGGGGGGCTGTCCCAGGCATGAAAGGGTGGGGCAGTGGAGAAAGGGAAAGGGAGATGAGAGGCTGGCCCAAGGAGTGGCTTCCGGGTGCCTTTTCTTCTCTTATGAAACCTTCAGCTTTGGGTGAGGCAATAACAGCCATTGTCAACAGAGGGTGAAACTTGGCAGTGCTTGCCCAAGGTCACACAGCCGGCAGGCAGCAGAAGAGGGATCTGAACCAGCCTCTGCTAGCCAGGCGGCTCTGCCACTGGGGCCCGTTCATTCCTTCCGCAGACTGACCGAGCGCCCACCACGCGCCAGGTCCGGTGCTGTGCTCTGGGTGTGCAGCCGGGAACAGGCTCGGCCGCTCCCTCATGGAGCACACATTCTAGTGGGGACCAGGTCTGGGAGCCACCTAAGCCCTGGCCACACCAAGGAGGCTTGAGATAACCTAGATCAACGTTTCAGGCAAACTAGTGGCACGTACTCAGGAAATTTAAAAAATGGAACAGAAAAATGTGGCAAAAGTACTATGTGGTGGAACTTGGCCCAGTTACATATTCTTTGTATGTACACATATTGTATACGTAGATAGTAAATGCAATATATTACATTTGTAGGTATGGACCTACTTTAAACAGGCATCCCTCATCATCTCAATCTATACCATCCCCCAAGAAACATTAAATAGAACATTTGAGGATAAACAATGAATTTAAGCAGGGAAAACAATGCACTCACTCCCAGCTCCAACACTTCTGTAACAACCTACAAGGTTTTTGGCACAGAGAGCATTGAAAAAACAAACAAACAATTACTTAACTACTTGACACTTAACACCCTCATTAATTGGCCATGTTTGTATGCAATACACAAGTTTGCACAGAATCAGATATGAGTTATGAGTCAGTGGGAAAAAAGATGCTCAAGATATTCGAGATACCATCCATTGCACCCAGAGTGGTGGTACCTCCAGAAACCTGGCAGAAGTCTACACAGGAACCTAGGGAGACAACACCAGAAATGTGTGAAATGCACAAGCCTGGATCCTGTTAGAACGGGTGGATCAAAACCAGTGTCGTCCACATCCTGGACTCAGACAGGACTTAAAATAGTTGCACAGTAGGTTTTTTTTACTTAAATAGCAAATTTGGTCTGGCCGGTGTGGCTCAGTGGTTGAACCGATCGACCCATGCTCCAAGAGGTCCCTGGTTCGATTCCCAGTCAGCGCACATGCCCAGGCTGTGGGCCCAACGCCCAGTGTGGGGCATGCAGGAGGCGGCCAATCGATGTTCTCTCTCATCGATGTTTCTATCTCTCTCCCTCTCCTTTCCTCTCTCTCTAGAATCAATAAAGAAAAAAAAAAAAAGAATCAACCAATGAATGCATAAATAAGTGGAACAACAAACCGATGTTTCTCTCTCTCTTCCTCTCTCTAAAAATAAACAATAAAAAGCCTGCCTAGCCATTTTCCAAAGTGACTGGACCATTCTGCATCGCCAGCAGAAATGCAGGGGCTGTCCAGCTGCTCCACATCCCCGTCAGCACGTGCCGTTTTTTTTTGTTGCCGTCCCGGCAGGCATGCGTAGTGGCATCTCATGGTAGTTGCTCGCGGTGTTGATAGACATTTCCACAAAGTCCAATTTATCCTGTTTGTTTTTTGTTTATTTCTGCGTGGCCAGTGTAAAATTCTTAAATACATTTGATTAGATACAGTTGACAGTGTTATTGCTAAAAAGTGTCCTCTGGAGTGACAGCAGTGTTTGTCCTCAGTCGCTCCCTACCCCAAGTTCCTCGGACAGGGTAGGACATACCATGGAGTCACAGCACCCACACACACACACACACACACACACACACACACACACACACACAGCACAGCCACCAAAATAACCAGCAAAGGAGCCAGTGCATGTCAGAACATCCTATCAAAGGATGTGGCGCCCTGTGCCTTGTGTCCTGAGATGGGGAGGCCAGGCAGGCTCCCAGGATGAGGCGTGGAGGACTCTACTTCTCCATCTTGCTGGTTCCTAACCTTGGGTGGAGGCAGGAGTTGAGGACAAGGGAGATCTGGAGAGACATTCACACCCACACACACATATATCCCAGCAGCAAGTCCTCTCAAATCCGGGGTTAGGGAGGAAGGCTGGGGGCCCTGGCTCCCTGGAGGGTACGGGCAGGGCTTCCAGAGCCCTACTTCATGTTTATCCATCTCATGATCCCATTGTCCAAAGTGCCCCATCAGAGCAGGGAAGGTACCTACTGGGGCTTACATGACTGATTCCTTCTCAAAGTTGTTAGCATCCCCAGCAGGTCGTGAATAGGGTTTGAGGAGGGGGTTCCCCTCCTCGATGGGTATTGGCAGTGGAGCCACAGATGACTCACTCTTCACGTTGATCAACTCGGGCACTGAGCTCTGACGCTTTGTCCGATCCACGTAATGTTGGAGAAGTGCCGCCCCAAAGGCGTCTCCTTCCACATTGAGGACGGTACAGGACCGGTCCCTGAAGGGGGGGGAGAGATGGGAAATGAGTGGGAGGGGCAGGGTCCAGGCCCAGCTCTCCCTCTGCTCTCCCTGTAATCATGAGTCCCCATCACACTGTCCTACACGGAACCCTATTCTACAAGCCTGGACCAGGTCATTCCTCCACCCTCCCAGGATGCCAAGTGTCCCTTCCTCCTAGAACCACAAAGCCCTACCCCTGAAATGCCAACGTGTCCCTCCGCCTTTGAACCCCAAAGATCTCCTCCATCCTCTCTGGACCCCAGTGATCTTTCTTCCAATAAAACATAAGATTTGTTCCCTCTGGAACCTCCAAGTCACCCCCTCCTTTTGGGGCCCCAGAGACCCTCCACCCCACCCCTTCCCCCTGAAATAGAGTTCTCCCCTCAGGTCTTTCTCCTCCCTAGAATCCTAAGGATCTCTTCTCTTCTTCTCTTTTTCTCTCTCTCTCGGTTAATCCTCACCCAAGGATATTTTTCCATTGATTTTTAGAGAGAGGAAGCGGGGAGACAGAGAGAAAGAGAGACAGAGAAACATCGATGTGAGAGAGACACATGGATTGGTTGCCTCCTGCACGTGCCCTGTCCAGGACCAGCGATCAAACCTACAACCCAGCTACGTGCCCTTGACCAGAAATCAAACCCGAGATACTTCCATCCTTGGGTGGACGCTCTGACCACTGAACCACACCAGCCAGGGCATGGATCTTTTTCCTCTTTATGCATTGTGTGTGTGTGTGTGACATTTTAGAAAATGGGGCTACAATTCACATACCATAAAATTCACCCTTTAAAAGTGTCAAACCGAGTGGTTTTAGTATATTCAGAATTGTATAAGCATTACTACTATTTAATTCCAGAATATTTTTATCACTCCAGAAAGAAAGAAAACCCCACACCCATTAGGTAGCTATCCTCCAGTTACCCCCAGACCCCCGCCCCAGGAAACAACTCATCTACTTTATATAGATTTGTCTATTCTGGACATCTCATAGGCATGGAATCACAGACCACGCAGTCCTTTGTGTCTGGCTTCTCTCACGCAGCATGTTTTCAAGGTCATCCATGTGGTAACATGTATGTATCAGTGTTGCAGGTGACATTTTGTGTATCTACTCATCAATTGATGGACATCTGGGTTGTTTCTACCTGTTCACTACTATGAATAGTGATTATTAGAATAATATACTATGATCCAGCCAGTGTGGCTCAGGGGTTGAGCGTCGACCCATGCACCAAGAGGTCGCCGATTCGATTCCCTGTCAGACACATGCTCAGGGTGTGGGCCCGATCCCCAGTGGGGGCATGCAGGAGGCGGCCAATCAATGTTCTCTCTCTCTCTCCCTCCCCCTTCCTCTCTCTCTCTACAAAAGAAAGGGGGGGAGAATAATGTACTATGGCCCTGGCTGGTTTGGCTCAGTGGTTAGAGCATCAGCCTGTGGTCAAGAGAGACCCGGGTTTGGTTCCCACTAAGGACATGTACCTTGGTTGCGGTTTGTCCCCGGCCCTGGTTGGGTTTTGCAGGAGGCGGCCACTCAATGTGTCCCTTTCACATCGATGTTTCTCTTTCTCTCTTCCTCTCTCTCCCTCCCTCCTACTCTATCTTAACAAAAAATAGAAAAATGTCCTCGGGTAAGGATAAAAAAATAAATAAATAAATAACAATGTACCTCGGACATTTGTGTACAAGTCTTTGTGGTTATGTTTTTATTTATTTATGTGTTTGTTTGTTTTTATCCTCACCTGAGGACATTTTTGCACTCATCTTCAGATAGAGCAGGAGGGAAAGAAGGAGGACGAGAAAGAGAGAGAGAAACATCAATGTGAGAGAGACACCTTGACTGGTTGCCACCCACACGACCCCAACCAGGGCCGAGGACAAACTGCAACTGAGGTACCTGTCCTTAGCGGGAACCGAACCCAGGACTCTCTGGTCCATGGGCCGAAGCTCTAACTGCTGAGCTAAACTGGCCAGGGTGGCTGGGATTTGAACACAAGCAGTCTGCCCTAAGAATCTATCACCCACCATGGCACACTACCTCTCCGGGGTTCTTAGAAGCCCCAAGATCCCTTTCTTCCCTGTGACCAAAATGCTCAAAGTGCCCTCCCCTTTCCTCTAGAACTCCTGCCTTCCTCTCCTTTTCTGCCAGAGGCTCTCAGTGACCCTCCTGTTTGTCCCCTTGCCCAGGAGTACCCCTGACCCCCCTGAAGCCCCAAACCCACACTCACACTAGCCAGTCCACAGCCAGGATCAAGGAGATGTCAACCGGCAGGCTGACCGCCTCGAGGATGATGGCCAGAGTGAGGACACCTCCAGCAGGGATGCCCGCGGCACCCACGCTGGACGCCGTGGCGGTGACCCTGGCGGAGGAGAGGGGAGGTCAGGGGTCAGGGAGAGGCTTCCTAGTGGGAGAAACTACCATATAGGAGCCCTGCTCCCCCCAGGCTGTGTCCATTCTCAGGGGAGGGGTCGGCTGGCTCAGGTCCTAGCGGCAGCCACACTCACAGGATGGTGATGATCTGCACGAAATTCAAGTGTTGCTGGTTGAGCTGTGCAATGAACACTGCAGCCACACACTGGAAGAGTGCGGCACCATCCATGTTGACAGTGGCACCGATGGGCAGGATGAAGCGGCTGATGTGCTTAGAGACGCCATTCTCCTCCACGTACTTCATCATCAGCGGTAAAGTGGCAGAGCTGCGAGGGACCACCGATCTGTTAGCTCAGGGAGCCCACCCAGGACTTCCCCCCCACCAAGCCCGGCCCACCACCCTGCCCACATAACCCCGCCCCCTGACCCAAGCCCGGCCCACTCACTGCCACCACCTTCTGTCGCCCCTCCCCCCCAACACACAGCCTGTCCAGCAATCTAAGCCCTTCTCTTCCCGGGGCCAGAAGGTACAGGGATCCCGCAGGCTGCAGTCATTCCAACATGTAGGCGGCCTCCACACCCTGCTACTCAAAATGTACACAAAAACTCACACCTAAATTCTCATGTCTCAGAGTTCACTCACCCACACCTCCTGCTACCTCCACCAGTAAGAGACCTCAGCTAAGAATTCCTAACTCTCTTGGGGTGCCGCCACAGGGATGGTCCCGTTCTGAGGGGACAGGGTCAGCAGAGATAGGTAAAACACCCGGAGAGAAGGTGGAAAGAGCTCCCAGAGACTGGATCCAGGGCAGAGCATTAGGGTCCCCCAGGGCCAGGCCTTAGCGGGGAGGAAGGGATCTCATGAAGGGAGGAAGAAATCACTAAGGCAGTAGTTTCCTAATTTTAGGGGGGTCTGGGGAATGGGGGAGGATAGATCCAGGACTTTATGAGAAACTTAAGCAAGTAGGGCCCCTGTACCCAGACCCAATGTCCCCAAACACAAAAGTTCAGGGGTCTTCAGACATCCGATGCCTGCTCCAGGTCCCTTAGCTTAAAAATCCCGCCCTGGTCTGCCCCAAGGTCACACCTGGAGGAGGTCCCGAAGGCGGTGGCCAGCGCTGCGGTGATGCCCCACAGGAAGCGGTAGGGGTTCTTCCGAGTGAAGACGAAGTAGATGAGGGGCAGCACCAGGAGCCCGTGGATGGCGTGGCCCAGCAGACAGCACAGGATGTATTTGCCGAGGCTGGCGAACAGCAACCCCACGTCCTCCATCTCCACAATCTTGCTGGCCACCAGGAACAAGACGCCCACCGGGGCATACCTAATCACCCAGGAGACAGATGGCCGCCTCTGATCACGTGCCCACCAGGGCCAGGAATCGTGTTCCGCTCGCAGCCGACCACAGCCTCCCTGGAAGTCAGGAGGTGTCCAGAGCAGTGTGTGCGGAAATCTGGCACCTCCCCAGCCCTCCTGTGCTCTCTCCTTGAAGACAGTGTAGCGGGAGATAAAAGAAGCCCGGGTGGTTCCATCACCACTTGGAGCAGAGTTGGACCAGATTTGGACTTAACACATGACCAAGAAAGAAATATGTACCACGCGCGAGTCATTTGTGTGTTCCGGATTCCTTTGTTGTAGCAGCTTGTATGACTTAAACCATTATAACCTCTTACCACGTTATGAAAAATAAAAAGACTATGGCTCAGGACTTAATAACAGCTCCGAGGCATGAAGCCTTTAAGACGTGCTAAACCTTTGAGTGTAATCGAATCTTCACTACAAGGGCGCTCTTGTTTCGAGTCTCTTACAAACTACTGTTGAATTAACAAAATTTAACAGGTCGGTAAAGCCGGGACGATAATACTCCTGACCTCATATGAATGTTAGGAGGATGAAATGAGATGCCAGTTGAAATGAGTTGAAAGCTTTTTAATAATTCATCTCTAAACTTTAGAACCTTTTCCTGCAGTGAAGATCCCAGGGTGCTTATGCCTCCCAGCCAGGAGGCCTCCCAACATTGCCTCTATGGCTGCTTGATCACTATGACCAGTTGTCTCCCAAACCCCCTTCCTCTTTTTTTTTTTAATTTTTTTTTTCTTTATTGATTTTAGAGAGAGAGGAAGGAAGAGGGAGAGTAAGATAGAAACATCCATGAGAGAGAACATCGATTGGCCGCTCCCTGCATGCCCTCCACTGGGGATTGGGCCCACAACCTGGGCATGTGCCCTGATGGGAAATTGAACTGGCGACCTCTTAGTACATGGGTCGATGCTCAACCACTGAGCCACACCAGCCAGGCCCCCCCTTCTTCTTTAGTAAGAGAAGAAAGGCACCATTTCCCACCCGTGTACCTGGGTTTGGCCAAATGCCCAATGGGATGTGCCAAGAAATTATACAAGTCAAGTACAGGATAAATATTAGCTAATACTGTTTTCTGTAAGCCTGCCATAGGTCAGGCACTGTCCCAAACACTTTACATACAGTAACTTGGTTTTTTATTATTATTAATTTGTTTTGTTACAGATGTTTCTCCTTTTTCCCCCCATTGACACCCTCCTCACCATTCCCCCCGCCCCATCCCCAGCTTTATGTCTATGTCCACTGGTCATGCATACATGCATATAAGTTCTGTGGTTTATCTCTCCCCCCAATCCCCGTCCTCTGAGGCTTGACAGTCTGTACCCCACCTCTATGTCTCTGGGTCAATTTTGTTCATCAGTTTGTTTAGTTCATTATATTCCACAAATAAGTGAGGTCATGTGATACTTGTCTTTCTCTGCTTGGCTTGTTTCGCTTAGCATAATACTCTCCAGGTCTTTCCATGCCATCTCAAAAGATAAGAGATCTTTCTTTCTTACAGCTGCATAGTATTCCATTGTGTACATGTACCACAGCTTTTTTATCCACTCATCTACTGATGGACACTTGGGTTGTTTCCAGATCTTAGCGATTGTAAATAGTGCTGCTGTGAACACAGGGGTACATATATTGTTTCTGATTGGTATTTCAGATTCCTTAGGGCATATTCCCAGAAGTGGGATCACTGGGTCAAATGGCAGTTCAATTTTTAACTTTTTGAGGTAACACCATAGTGTTTTCCACAGTGGCTGCACCATACATGCAGTAACTTTTTTGTGCCTGGTCCACTCAACCCCAATTTCCAGATGGAAAACGGAGACACAGAGTGATAAGTAACTTGTTGGAGGGCACAGCTAGGACACGGCCTTGCCAGGACGGGAACCGTGGCCACCCAGCCGCAGAGCCTGCTCTTACCCACACACCGCCTGGTTCTCCGGCAAAGTGCTTTTACTATTCAAGGTGCACTCAGTGCCCACACAGCAGCTTTCCAGACGCCATGCACTGGAATCCGGGTGTGGGGGTATAGGATTTGTTAAAAATGCAGCAACCCTGGCCCCACCTCCTGATTTCTGACCTTGTAGATCAGTGGTTCTCAACCTTCCTAATGGCGCGACCCTTTAATACAGTTTCTCATGTTTTGTTGACCCCCAACTATAAAATTACTTTCTTTTTTTTTTTTTATCCTCACCTGAGGACATTTTTCCGTTTTTTGTACAGAGTGGGAGGGAGAGAGAGGAAGAGAGAAAGAGGGAAACATCGATGTGAAAGGGACACATTGAGTGGCTGCCACCCGCACGACCAACCAGGGCCGGGGACAAACTGCAACCGAGGTACGTGTCCTTAGCGGGAACCGAACCTGGGTCTCTCCAGACCGCAGGTGGATGCTCCAACTGCTGAGCCAAACCGGCCAGGGCCATAAAATTACTTTCATTGCTACTTCATAACTCTAAGTTTGCTACTGTTATGAATCACCACCGGAAATATGTGTTTTCCGATGGTCTTAGGCGACCCCTTTGAAAGGGTCGTTTGACCCCCAAAGTGGTCGCGACCCACAGGTTGAGAAACGGTGTTCTGGATCCAGGGTGGAGCCTGAGAATCAGTGTGAGACTGGGGAGGAGACAAGCATGGAAGCCAGAGGCCCGTGCACATTTGTTAACTAGGTCATTTAGCAAAGCTCATAATGGTAATAGTTGTAGCTTATATTAAGTGAGGGCTTGGTAGGTGCCAGGCACTTAAAGCATGTTCTAAGTGCTTTCTTTCTTTTTTTTTTTTAATCCTCACTTGAGGCCATTTTTGCATTCATTTTCAGGTAGAGTGGGAGGGAAAGTGGGAGGGAGAGAGGGAGGAAGAGAGAGAAACATTGATGTGAGAGACACATCAACTGGCCGCCACCCACAGAACCCCAACCGGGGCTGGGGACAAACTACAACAGAGGTACGTGCCCTTAGCAGGAACCGAACCCGGGTCTCTCTGATCCACAGGCTGACGCTCTAACTGCTGAGCCAAACTGTCCAGGGCTAAGTGCTTTCTTTACCTATACCCAGTCATTTGTTTCATCTTCGTGATAACTCTACAAAGCAGGTGCAACTTTAGATCATTGATCCAAAGGCAAACATTTGATTACCTTTTAATCTCTAAAACTGAGATGTGTTAGCCAGGCTGTGGCCATAGCATGGCTGTCTTTTTGTCACCTTCCAGTAAAATCAAGCTGCCAGTAGCAGTCTAAGCCTTCATGGAATACAGCGCTGTCTTTATTTTATAGACAAGGAAATTGAGGCACAGAGAGGGTAAGGCACCTGCCCAAAGTCACACAGCCATGGAATGGTCCACGCTGGATTTGAATCCAGGCCATCTGGCTGTAAGAAGTACACGGAGGGTTACCCCTTCTTCCACCCCAGCCCCCTCTCCCACCACCTACCACATGATCCAGGAGACCAGCAACATGGTGGCATCGTTGAAGGAGTTGAAGAAGCAGATGAGCAGCTCTCCCTCCGGCCCCAGCTTCCGCAGGCACACACCAAAGACGATGGCAAACACCACCAGGCCCAGGATGTTCATACCCTCCACCTCATCCCCCATACGGACCTTTGGGCAAAGAACAGATGGAGGAGGGAGAGGGATGCTCAGTCAACTTGCAAAGTCACTGAGGACCTGCCATGGGCAGTGCTAGGACCCATCAACTCTGCCTGGCCCAAGTCCAGAGGAAATAGACCAATAGCCAGGGACCACCCAGAGTGGGCAGGGTTGAAATTGGAGAACCCAGGGGGAGTGTGAGAACTGAGGGGGGAGGAGGTGCCAGCTCAGGAGTCTGGGTCATCATGTTGGGTTTCCTGGAGGAAGAGGCTGAGACCTGGAGAACAGGAAGGGTGAACCAGGTAAAGAGGGGTGGTAGAAGGCTCTAGAGAGGAAATAATTTGCAACAGCCTAGAAGCCAGAGCAACTGGGGCATTCAAAGAGCAGAAAGAAGTCCACTATCTGGAGTGGAATGAGCTGGCAGAATCAGGAGAGGTGACTGGGGAGCGGCGGGGCTGTGGCGGAGCCTGGGCTTTCTTCTGAGGACACTGGGGAGCACGACGTGAGCCTGGGAGAGGCAGGGTCAGGCATGTGCTTTGGAAAGACCACTGCGGCTGCCGGGCCTGGGGCAGATCAGGAAGAGGCACGGGCAAGATGGGGTGGAGGGAAAAGAGGAGCCTGGACCGCTGGGGAGGGATAAGAGGGGTCCAAATGGAGATTCCGGAAAGGCAGAAAGAAATTGGGGAGGGCCTTCACAGACAAACAACAAATTGCACACCAAGTGTTAGAAGACTCAAGGAGTAAACACAGGCTGGGACGGGAGCAATAACGGGCTCTTACCTTCACCTCAGTTACATTGAAGTTTTTCTTTTGATAGGTGGTCGAGTACTGTAAAGAGGGTTGGAAAGCGTCAGTGTCAACAGTCACTGAGGTCACCCCACCCTGTACTGGCACCTACAATGCTCAAAGCCTGCCCTCCCTCAACATCCCTTTACACATAATCTCATTTCACCCCACCAGCAACCCCATTGTGACAGGACCGTTCCTGCCCCCATTTTCCAAGGGCAGAAACCAAGGTCCAGAGAAGTAAAGGCGCTTGCTTGCCCAGTACACACAGTTAGAATTGGAACCCAGCAGGGGCTGGGAACCCATATTCTCACTTGTGGATGAAAAGTGTGGATGATTTTCAGGGGTCACCCAAGAACCCTGCAATATTGCCTGTAAATATGTACGTAGGTACATTTTTTTTTTTCAGGCAGCACCCAAAATCAGGCACCAAGGGGCTATAACTGTCTATCTTCCTCCCTGCCCACCCCCCACCCCCTGGGGGTGCCCCTGAGGACTCACTGAGCGGAAGGCTGCTGACACCAGGTTGGAGGGGAAGATATTTCTGCAGAGACAGACATGGGGGTGAGGGCTTGTTATCAGATACCACAGGGGGAGGTCAAGGGGTATCTGTGGGGCTGGATTGGCTACTTGGGGTGGGAGGAACCTTGGAGACCCCATTTGCACCCAAATGGGGCCCCTACCCTTGCCTCAGCTAGGTTCAGTCAGGCAGAGGTGAATCAGCCCTGCACTGGCTTACAGGGTGTGGGGAGTCTAAGCTGTCTCCCAGGGCCCTAGTAAGCTGTCGTCCTGGGCCCAAAGGGTTGGAAGGATTTTGATCGATGGTGAGGAATGCTGGCTTCCCAAGTCAGGCTTGGGCAGGGTCACCTGGGGCCTTAGCTCCACCCTAGGAAACGAACTTAACATCGAGGACATCTTGCATCAGCCACTTCCTCTGGGAAAAGGGCAGGCTGGCCCTGGGGGCTGGGCCTGCGGCTGGGGGCGGGGGGGGGGGGGTTCTGGGTGTTGGGAAGAAGTGGGGAGAGAGCGAGACAACACACGGCTGTGTACTTCATGAATGTGCATCTGTGTTCACATGGCCACTCTTATGTATGCGTGTGTGACAGTTAGGGCAAGCCCATGTCAATGTGCAACACCACAGCTGTGGCTGAGTGTCCAGCTGTGTGTCAGTTGCTGATAAAGTTGTGTGGCTCAAGGTGTTTTAGCTGAGTCTGGGAGTGGCTGGCCTGTTTTGGCACATGGTGGAAGCCCATGCACAGAAGCAGCCTTCCACTGGGTGTGCTCATCTGTAGGTCAGCCTGTGCTAACCCAGGCCAGAGGGCTGAGCCAGAACCCAGCTAATCTCTCCCAGCCAGAAGGTGCCCACCTGCTGCAACTTCTGGGTGAGTTTCCCATCTGATGTTGAACGGAGGCCCCAGGAGGCTGGGGGAACCCAGTTCCATGACTCATCATTTCCCTCCACTACTTCCTGGAAGTCCCCAACCAACCTGGAGACACTGAATCAGCAGGCCCCAAAGGCAAGGCCATGAGGCTACAGCAGTCTGCCCTCCTTAAGAGAGGGGAGAGCCATTCTTGGAGGGGGGGGAGCACGGAATGAGGAAATGTAATGGAAAGTGGTGGAGGTGGCAGGTCTTAACAGGAGGAACATGTACTGGGGAAGCCACCAGGGCCAGATGAGCTGGGAAGGGAAGGAAGGCTGAGAAAAGAACCCAGCTGTCTGAGTGACACATGGTATGGGAAGCCCCGGGACAGGGAAGAGGGCCTGGTGGGGAACACTTAGATCACCTCAGGTCCTTCGTGGGCACCTTGAGTCCCACGGACTCAAGATCCTGGACTCAAACCTGTATCCAGAAGCCCCATCCTGGAGCCCTTGGCCACCCAGAGATCCCCTTGGAAACCCTCAGTATCCCTTCCCCTGACTGGAGAGCCCCTCTTATGTCCCCCAACTCCCCCAAGCATTACTTCCCCCTTTCTCTGTAAGACTTCCTTGCTTACCACCCTTATGTGGGGTCCCCCTTATGTTCCCAGTTCCCCACAGTTAGAAGTCTCCTTGCCCAGGAGTCTGTCCTCACTCTCTGTACCCTTGGGGCCCTGGGGATGTCCTGGCTCTGGAGAACCCACAGCCCCCACTCCCCCTCCTGTCCACGTGCTACTCGGGCCATCCCTAACACCATCCCCTACCCACGTGGCTGAAGTACCCTTCCCCCACCCTCCGACGGTGGGCGGGGTCTGACCTCAAAAGATCCAGGAAGGAATCCAGCACCTCCTTGCTCTGAGCTTCTTCCTGAGGGGGGTTGATCCCGGCCGAGGCGTTCGCGGCCGCAAGGGCGGCGCCGGGCTGCAGAGCCAGCGCCAAGCTCACGCCGAGAGCGGAGGCTATCAGTGTGGTGACCAGGAAAAAGAGCAGCGCCCAGGCACCCAGGCGGCCGAGCGCGCTCGGGTCCAGACTGGCGGCGCCGCCGATCAGACTGCACACCACCAGCGGCAAGATGATCATCCGCAGCATGCGCAGCAGCAGCTCACCGGGGAAGGCGAAGGCCACCATCCGCGAGGGGTCCAGCGCTACCGCGTCTCTGGCCGCTGACAGCCCCAGCCCCAACGCCACGCCCGCCACCACGGCCACCACAGTCAGCAGCACCAGCAGGTTGGCGCGAAGGCAGCGGCGCACCCGGCCCCAGGAGCTGCTGCCTCCTGCCGCGTCTGGGTCCTCCTTGGGGACCAACGCTGGGACACCCCTCACAATGGGCTCCGCCGCAGCCAGCCCCTTGGGGTCTCCCTTGGGCGGGTCGGCCACCATGATGAACGACCCGGGGTTCCTTAGCGCCTGGAAGCTGGGAGCGCTGGGGTCTCCTCCCTCGGACACCGACGTTTCGGAGAACTGAGGAGCTGAGTAGCAGCCTGGAAACTGGAACTCCGAGGGTTCCCTGAAGTGTGAGTTCACAGCGCCTGAGTTCCTGGCCCTTGAAAGATGGTGTGTCTGAGGTCCCTAGGCTGGGCGCTGGGGCTCCTCTGCTCTTCGAGGTTGTGTACGGCGCCCGAAAGCTGGGAGCTGGGGGCGCCTGGGTTGCTTGGCCTTGGGGGTTGGAATACAGGAGTTTCTCAAGCTGGGACCTGGAGTCCTTGGCTCCGGAAGGCCAACGGCACCCTATACGGCCCAGGTCTTCAAGAGGCGAGGTCCTGGTGGCGAAGATCCCGGACGCCTGGATCCCGCCTGGATCCGGGAGGTGAGGACCTGGAGAGCCTGGGTCCTGGAAACGGAGGGCTCGGGAGCCTGAGTCTGGGAGCCGGAGCCAGAGCTCCGGAAAGAGGGGAACCAGATTCTTGGGCCGGGAGGGAAGGTCCAGGCCACCGGGCGCGGAAGGCACCGGTTGATGATCCCTAGAGATAACGGCTGTCAACCCAGAGGAACCCGACAGCCAGCCGCGTGGCTCTAAACCCGCTTGGCGGAAGCTGCCAGAGTTAAGCACGGGCAAGACTTGCGAAGGCGGGGACCTACCCGGGGGCGGTGATTGGCTGGGGGCTGCCTCCTGCGAGGCTCGGGCCAGCCTCCTTAGAAGGCCGAATAACGTTACCGGTATCCAGGGGCGGGGCCTGAGTGGTGACGTTGCACGAAGGGGCGGGGCGTTGGGGGTTCTCTGGAAAGTGCATGTGATGCGCTGGTGGCTCGTCTAGAAATCAACTCCGCCTGAAACTCCTTCACCCCGAATTCGGTCTTTCATTGTCTCTGGGAACTTCAGTGACTCGAATGTAAAATGCCGATCCTTCCCACGAGTGATGTAAGATTTAAATGAGATGGAGTTATTTAATAATGTGAATATTCTCTTAAATAAATGTCCCCGCCCCCGCAGAGTGGCTCAGTAGGTTAGAGCGCGTCATGGGATAAGCCAAGGTTGCGGGTTTGATCCGCGGTCAGGGCACGGAGAAGAAACAACCAATGAATGCGTAAATAAGTGGAACAACAAATTAATCTTTCTCTCTCCTGCCCCTCTCTAAAATAATAATAATAATAATAATAATAAAATAAAATAAATGTTCCCAGTTCAGAGCCCCACACGTCAATTAATGGCAGTTGTTATATATTAGGATTGCAATCTACTTCTCCGTAGGTACACAGTGTACAATTCAACCATTAAAATTATAATTCAACTTAATGACTGTGCTAATACTTTTATGAATGTTCTCACCAAATATTTCCCCCCATATTTTATTATGAAATTGTTCAGCCCTGGCCAGTATGACTCAGTTGGTTGGAGCACCATCCAGAACACCAAAAGGTGGCGGGTTTAATCCCTGGTCCAGGCAGTTACCAGAAGGAACCGATTGATATTTCGCTCCCTTCCTCTCTCTCTGAAATCAATAAAACATATCCTCAGGTGAGGAATTTAAGAAAAGAAGAAAAAATTTTAAACATACAAAAAGTTTAAATGATTTTACAGCAAGCCTATACCCAACACCTAGAGTCTACAATTATTCATCATACTTCTATATCATATTTCTGTCTACTTATCTATCTAACCATCTATCCATTCACGTTCCTTCTTTTTTTATCCTTACCCAAGGACATTTTTCCTTTTTTTTTTTTCAGACAGAGTGGGAGGGAGAGGAAGAGAGAAAGAGAGAGAGAAACATCGATGTGAAAGGGACACATCGAGTGGCTGCCTCTTGCATGACCCAACCAGGGCTGGGGACAAACTGCAACCGAGATATGTGCCCTTAGTGGAAACCGAACCCAGGTCTCTCTGGACCACAGGACAACACTCTAACTGCTGAGCCAAACCGGCCAAGGTCGCCTTCCTTCTTTTTTTAAAATATGTTTTTATTAATTTTTAGAGAGAGAGGAAGGGTGAGGGAGAGAGAAACATCAGTCGGCTGCTTCCTACACGCCCCTTATTGGGGATCAAGTCTGCAACCCTTGCATGTGCCCTAACTGGGAATTGAACTGGTGACCTCTCTGTGCACTGGGCCACACTCAGCTGAGTCACACAACCAGGGCCCACCTTCCTTTTTTTGAAGCATGATATCAGTGCACTTTCCCTCTAAACACTTCAGTGTGCATTTATTTATTTTATTTTTATTTTTATCCTCACCCAAGGACATTTTTCCATTTTTTGTTCAGATAGAGCAGGAAGGAGAGAGAGGAAGAGAGAGAGAAACACCGACATGAAAGGGACACATCGAGTGGCTGCCTCCTGCACGACCCAACCAAGGCTGGGGACCAACTGCAACCGCGGTACATGCCCCTAGCGGGAACCGTACCCGGGTCTCTCTGGACCGCAGGCCGATGCTCTAACCGCTGAGCCAAACCGGCCAGAACTGCATTTATTAATCAGAGTTTAATATTAGCTCGCAGTCTTTGTTTACTTTTTAGGTAAAATATATATACAACAAAATGCACACATTTTAAGTGACAGTCACTGATTTTCAACAAATGCATATACCTGATTTCCCTGGACTCTTCATGACTGCTTATGAGGTTGGTCCCACTTATACTCATTCCCCAGATGAGCAAGACTGGGGCTTGTGGCCCGAAGAACTCATTTGCCTTGAGGCCACACCTGGGGAGGCTGGGCGTTGCATGCCTGCCTCCCAAGGCCTTAACCACACCTGCTCTGCCACTTCCCTAAGTTCCTTCTTGGTGGTTATTTGGGTCATTTCCAGTGAACCTGCCATGACTCCCTGCTCCTCCTGGTAGTGCTGAAATCTTAATTCCTTTCCTACCTGTCCTGTTCTCTGCTAATATTTCAGGGTTTACTACTTGCTCAAAGACTATAGATAGCTATAACCTCAAAGCTTCCTTCTGTAGCAGCTATGAGGGCAAGTCACAACCTCTATGAGCCTCAGTCTCCACATCTGTACAATGGGAAGAATAATAATAGAGCATACCTCCTTGGGAGCTGTGAGGATCAAATGAGATCATATGTTCAAAGCATTTATTTATTTTTATTTTTATTTTTTTTTATGTTCAAAGCATTTAGACATGGCACAGGTTAGCCCTTAATCAAGTTGCCTACTACTACTAGTATTGTTGTTGTTATGGTCATTATTATTGAAGAACATGGTTTGGGCCCGGACCAGCTCAGGACCAGTGGCTCTGTATGATGCTGGGCACTGGTGTGAGCTCTCCTTGTTGGTCTCTAGACATAGACCTGCTTGGGAAGGAGCTTTGAGAGCTTGTGGTGACATCCTGTAGGATCTGAGGCACTGAGGCCAAGTTGAGCTGAGAATTTGCCCAGGGTCTGAAGGATCCACCACCCAGGCACGTGTAGCCTTGTGGACCCCCTTCCTGTGTCTCTTAGACTCGCTCCCCTCCCAAATCCTCCAAGCTTCAATACCACCCACTTCAGAAAGTCCCCATCCCCCATTCCACCCTCCTAGTCTGACATCATATTCATTCAACAAACTGGCATTAAATCCAGTAGCTTAGTTCTGTGCTAGATGCTGAGAGTGTGGGCACTAAAGCCACATGGACATGGGTGCGAATCCTGACTCCACCACTTACCAGCTGAGCATCAATTTCCTTATTTATCCTCAAGTCAACGTGAGCACGAATTTGATTATGCGCACAGTGACCCTCCATACAAAACACAAGGGGACAATTCCTGGGCACTCCATTCCACAAAAATTCCTGGAGCCCTTTCTAAGGGCCAAGTGTAGTTCAAGGTGCTGGGGACTCAGCAGTGAGAGAAAAAATTAAAAAGAAAAATAAACAGCCCGGCCGGGGTGGCTCAGTGGTTGAGCGTCAACCCCTGCACCAGTGCACCAGGAGGTCGCCGGTTCAATTCCCGGTCAGGGCACATGCCCAGGTTGTAGGCCTGATCCCAGTGAGGGGCATGCAGGAGGCGGCCAGTCAATGTTCTCTCTCATCAATGTTTCTATCTCTCTCTCCCTTCATCTCTCTCTCTCCCTCTCCCTTCATCTCTCTCTAAAATCAACAAAGAAAAAAAATTTTAAAAGAAAAGAAAGAAAAATGACCAGACAAAACTTGCTGTCAGGTTCTTGTGAGGAAGACAAGGGTATCAGCTGGGTGTCAGGTGGGAGGGAGCTGAAGACAGCTAAAGCGTTGAAGGCAGGGAGACAGAGGGGTCACAATGGGGGAAGCAACATTTGCCATGAGACCTGAAGGATAAGAAGGAGCTCGCTGGGACAGTGTGGAGGAACACTCTGGTGAGGGAAGAGCAGGTGCAAAGCCCCAAGGCAGCAAGAGGACACACCCTGTTTGAGGTGCTGTCAGACCTTATCTTATCCCCAGTGACCCTTGAGAAGCCACTCTCCCGGCTTACTAATTTGGATACAGATGGAGGTAGTGAGGCTCCTTGTGACCCAAACCCCCTATCTGGGCAGGGGATTTGAACTCAGGTGTCTCTGACCCCAGCCTGTGCCCTCAACTCCTAGAGCAGTGGTTCTCAACCTTCCTAATGCCACGACCCTTTAATACAGTTCTTCATGTTGTATGTGGGCGTATCTGCATGTGGGTGGACCCGCCTAGAGACAGAAAGAGAAGCGGTGTCTCTGTTCCTAAGATTTCTGATGGTCTTAGGCAACCCCTGTGAAAGGGTCGTTCGATCCCCAAAGGGGTCGCGACCCACAGGTTGAGAACTGCTACCCTAGAGGCTACCATAGCTAACCCTACACTTGGCTCCCCCTCACGCAAAGACATTTCCTTCAAGGGCCTATCGTTTATTCTGAGCACATTGTTGGGCCATGTGATGGGTGGTGCCAGGGATCCAGTGATGACCAAGCTAGTCCTAAATCTGTCCTCAGGGGGGAATCACAGTCCAAAGGAGAAAACAGACTCATCCCAGACAATGAGGACACAGAGTGTGTGATGGGACAGCCCAGAAGGGGTGCTTGACTCAGCTTGGGGGTCAGGAAGGGCTTTCTGGAGGAGGAGACATCACAGCTTGGTTGGGAAAGGGTTGGATCAAGCCCAGGGAAAGAATTCCAGAGAAAGGGAATAACACATGCAAAGCCACAGAGTTGAGAAGAGCCCAGAAGGTTCCCAAGCACAGATCTAACACAGTCACCCCACCCTCGGGATAAAGTCCAAACTCTTCAACCAGGCATCTGTCAATTCAGTAATACATTCTTTCAGTCATTCAACAAACCACATCCACAAAACAAAATGCTCAAGTCAAATAGACAGAGACAGATGGGGAACCGGGCAGAGGACAGGATTCAGTAATAAACCAGGTGGTCAAGAAACATCAAGGAGGCCCAGCTGGTGTGGCTTGGTTGGGTGTCGTCCCATGCACCAGAAGGTTGCTGGTTCCTTTCTGGTCAGGGCACATGCCCAGGTTTCAGGCTCCATCCTGAGTAAGGGGTGTGCAGGAGACAGCCGATTGATGTTTCTCTCTCATCGATGTTTCTATCTCTCCCTTCCTCTCTCTGAAATCAATAAAAACCTATTTTAAAAAAAAAAGAAATATTAAGGAGGAAAACAGGCTCAGGAGAAGGTATATAGGACAGGGCATTATGTTTCAGGTGCACTGACTACAGAGAACAAACTGATGGTTGGCCAGAGGGGAGGGGAGTGAGGGATTGCGTGGAAAAGAGGAAGAACATTAAGACACGCCAACTTCCGGTGACAGAATAAGTCACAAGGATATAAAGTATAGTACAGGGAATAGAATCAATAATATTGTAATAGCCAAGTACAGTGACAGATGGTTACTAGACTTATTGTGGTGATCACTTTGTAAGATATATAGATGTTGAATCACTATGATGTACACCTGAAACTGACATCATCTGGTAGGTCAACTATAATGAAAGAAGACATTTTTTTAAAAATCTTTATTGGTGAATGTAAAATGTATTACAGATGTTCCACATTTTTCCCCCATTGACCCCCTCCTCCCCACTCCCACCCCCCTCCCGCCTTTTCCCACACTATTGTCTGTGTCCATTGGTTATGCATATAAATTCTTTGGTTTATTTCCGCCCCCCCGCCAACCCCTTTCCCTTTGAGGTTTGTCAGTCTAGCAATGAATTTCTACTTCTTAATCTCTTCACCTTTTTCACCCATTCCCCCAACCCCCCTCCCATCTGGCAGCCAACAAAATGTTCTCTGTATCTATGAGAATGTTTCTGTTCTACCTGTTCATTTTGTTTGTAGATTCCATTGTTGATAGATACGTATTCATTGCCATTTTGTTTGTTCATATATTTTATCTTTTTCTTCAAAAAGACCCTTCATCATTTCATATAATAACGGTTTGGTGCTGATGAACTCCTTTAACTTTTTCTTGTCTGGGAAACTCTTTATATGGCCATCGATTTTAAATGACAGGTTTGCAGGATAGAATAATCTTGGTTGTAGGTTCTTGCTTTTCATCAATCTGAATATTTCTTGCCACTCCCTTCTGGCCTGCCAAGTTTCTTTTGAGAAATCAGCTGACAGCCTTATGGGAACTCCCTTGTAGGTAACTAGCTGCCTTTCTCTTGCTGCTTTTAAGATTCTCTCTTTGTCTTGAACCTTTTGCATTTTAATGATGATGTGTCTTGGTGTGGGCCTCTTGGGGTTCATCTTGTTTGGGACTCTCTGTGCTTCCTGGACTTGTATGTCTGTTTCCTTCACCAAGTTAGGGAAGTTTTCTGCCATTATTGTTTCAAACAGGTTTTCGATTTCTTGTTCTCGCTCTTCTCCTTCTGGCACCCCCAAGATGCGAATGCTGGCATGCTTGAAGTTGTCCCAGAGGCTCCTTACACTCTCCTCATTTTTTTGGATTCTTTTTCTTTTTGCTGTTCTGATTGGGCATTTTTTTGCTTCCTTATATTCCAAGTCGATGGTTTGCTCCTTGGATTTACGTACTCTATTATTGAAGTTGTGTAAATTATTCTTTATTTCAGTTAATGCCTCCTTCAATTCTGACTGTGCATCCATGATTTCTGACTGGTCCTTTTTTATGCTCTTGAGGCCCTCACTAAGTTTGCTGAGGTTCTCACTAAGTTCATTGAGCATCCTTATAAGCAGTATTTTGAACTCAGCATCTGTTAGGTTGCTTACCTCCATTTCGCTTAGTTCTTTTCTTGGGGTTTTGTTCTGTTCTTTCATTTGGGACCTGTTTCTTTGTCTCCTTGTTTTGGCTGCCTCCCTGTGTTTGTTTCTGTGTACTGTATTACTTAATGAGAGGAATGGGGCTAGCTGAGACCAGATGCTGCTCGTTTGAAAGAATTTAGGCAAACCTGAAGCAGGATCCAAGACAGGCCAATCCTATGGTTAAGCAAGTGGCAACAGCTTGGGTGGGCCTGAAAGTTGGGTGGGGCGGGGCCTCAGGGAGTCAACAGGGCGGGGCCAACAGTGTGAGCCTGGTTGCTGGAGTCCCAGATATGGCGGCTGTCTGCCGCCCCAGGGAAGGGCTCACCAAAGGAACAAAGGCCTCTGACAGCATGTTTGTCCCTGAGAAAGCCCCCTCTCCAGCCCTCGCTCCAGTGCCAAGCAGCTCAGTTCTTCCCTGTATGTCTCTGGCGCCCCTCGAGCTGCCTCCCCTCCAAGCTTAGAGGGAGAGAGTCCGATAAGTCCGTGCGCGGGCCCTTTAAGGCGCTGCCCGGGGCTCCAGCCGCATCAGCCTCCCTGAGCCTCAGTTCCCGCTGGTTTTTCCAGCCAGAAGTGATGGGGATTCTCTTCCTGGCACTGGATCCCTGAGAGGGGCACCTGGTGTGGGACGGGGACCCCTCAGTCCTCAGGGAGGACCTTCCCAGACGGGGTGTCCTCCTGATTTTTATCCGCCACACGTGGGTGTGGGACCAGCCCGTCTCGCCGCCGCCACCCCCCCTCGCGCCTCCGCCCCTCCTACCAGTCTGGATGTGGCTGCTGCTTTAATTCCGTAGTTGTGGGACTTCCATTCAGCTTGATTTCAGGTGGTTTTGAAAGATGCTTGTTCTGTAGTTTAGTTGTAACTTTGATGTGGTTGTGGGAGGACGCGATACCGCGTCTGCGCTGCCATCTTGACCGGAAGTCTGAAAGAAGACATTTTCAAAACGCACTGACTCTCTCGAACCGAATTTGTGGAAACTGCTAGCAGTGGTCACTTTCGGGAAGGAAAGCAGGGGCTTTGTGGTTCAGCATAAGCACTGTCTCACAGCTTAGCAGCTGAAGGACATCTGGCAAATCATGCGTTACTTTTTTTTTTTTCTTTTATCATTTTTTTTAGAGAGAGGCTCCCTTTGCCCAGTGGCCCACTTACTCATGCAATCGTTGGTTGCTTCTTGTGTGTGCCCTGACTGGGGATCAAACCACAACTTTCGTGTATCAGGATGACGCTCTAACCAACGGAACTACCCTGCCAGGGCCCAGGTCACCGAATTCTCCCGCCTCGGTTTGCTCAGCTGTGAAAACAGGTATCTGCCTCAGAGATCGTGGAGGAGTGGACCTAGTTCGTGTATATAAAGCATTTTGTTTGGTGCCTGGCAAACCACAGCCTCGCGTGGTATTTTATTTTATTTATTTTTTGTGGTATTTTAAGTCATAGCCTTTTGAGATCAACATGGTATTTAGGGCAGAAGTAAAAAAGGCTCCTTCCGTGTGTTCCTTCAGACACAGACTCACAGGCTGGTGTTTCCCCCCAGGAGTGTTCAGGTCCTGAGGGCTACTGTGCAAAGGTGGGACCTGGCAGCTGGGTTTCAGGTGCTGCTGCCGCACGTGGCCAGGCTGAGGACGGGGAACCTTCTGGCAGCCCTCTCCTCAGGGCCCTGGGGGTACGAAGAAATGATTCAGGCCCGCTGGGCAACATGGGGGTGGGGCAGGCTTAGCCCGGTCACTGCCACCTACCCCAAGCACAGGGGTGCCAGACAGGAGGCAAGATAAAGGAAGGAGGCTCCAGGACTCAGGGATCCCAGAATCCCAGTACTGTACCTAGGGCAGCGCGGGGTGGGTCCGAGCCAAGAGGGGAAGATTTGAGGGTTTGGTTGAGGATTGGCTAGGAGTGTCCCACCCCTGCCCTCCCCAGGCTTGGAGAGGAAAACATACCAACTGGTTTCTACCAGCTTTCTTCCCACTCAGCCAAACCTCCTACCCAGATTCAAATTTCATCATGAGGGGGTGAGGGGCGGAGGAAGTGAGCCCTGGCCCATGTGGCTCAGTTGGTTAAAAGGTCACTGGTTCAACTCCAGGTCAGGACACATGCCCAGGTTGTGGGCCCAATACCCAGTGTGGGGCCTGCAGGAGGCAGCCAATCAGTGTTCTCTCTCGTTGATGTTTCTGTGTCTCTCTCCCTCTCACTTCCTCTCTCTATAAAAACCAATAAAAAAGAAATGAGACCAGATCAGTGGGCAGGAGCCAGAGCAGGTAGATGAAAATAAAAGGCTGAAGTTAAAACCATTTCTTTAACTCATTTTACCTCATGGAGCTTACCACATATGTCACTGTTTCTTTCTCTTTTTTAATCCTCACCCGAGGATATTTTTTCATTTATCTTCAGAGAGAGTACGAGGGAGGGAGGGAGAGAGAGAAAGAGAGAAAGAAACATTGATGTGAGAGAAACACATCAATTGACCACCTGCATGACCCTGACCAGGGCTGGGGACCGAACCACAACCAAGGTACATACCCTGGACCAGAATCAAACCTGTAACTCTTTGGTCCTCGGGCTGATGCTCTAACCACTGAGCAAAACCAGCTAGGGCTGTAACTGTTTTTAAACTTCCCAAGTCTCATAGCTCCCTTTGGATATTAAAAGGCAAAATGCTGAACTCCAAAGGCTAACTTCAAAAGTAGAATTTTAGCCCTGGCCAGTTTGGCTCAGTAGTTAGAGTGTTGGCCTGCAGACCAGGGAGTCCTGGGTTCAATTCCACCCAAGGGCACGTACCTCGGTTGCGGTTCATCCTCGGCCCTGGTTGTGGTGGTGCGGGAGGTAACCAATCAATGTGGCTCTCTCACATCGATGTTTCTCTCTCTCTCTCTCTCTCCCTCCCATTCTGTCTGAAGATAAATGTAAAAATACCCTTGGGTGAGGATTTTAAAAATAAATAAATACCTAATTTTTAAAAAATTTAAAAAGAAACAGGAAGGTGCCCTGGCTGGCATTCTCAGTGGTTAGAGCGTTGGCCTGCACACTGGATGGTTGTGGGTTTGATTCCTGGTCAAGGGCATGTACCTGGGTTGCAGGTTTGGTGTGGTCAGGAGGTCAGGGTGTGTGCAGGAGGCAACCGACAGATGTTTCTCTCTCTCTCTCTCTCTCTCTCTCTCTCTCTCTCTCTCTTTCTCTCTTCATCCCCTCTTCCTCCGCTTACTCTAAAAATCAATGGAAAAGCTCTGGCCGGTTTTGCTCAGTGGTTAGAGCATTGGCCCTAGGACCAAAGGGTCACGGGTTCGATTCTGGTCAAGGGCACATGCCTGAATTGTAGGTTTCCCCAGCCCCAACCAGGGCAGTGAGGGAGACAACCAGTCGATGTGTCTCTCGCAACATCAAAGTTTCTCTCTCTCTACCTCCCTCCCTTCCACTCTCTAAAAAATGAAAATGAAAACATCACTGGAAAAAACATTTTTTAAAAAATCAGTGGAAAGCCCCGGCCAGTTTGGCTCAGCGGTTAGAGCGTCAGCCTGCGGTCCAGAGAGTCCCGGGTTTGGTTCCTGCTAAGGGCATGTACCTCGGTTACAGTTTGTCCCCAGCCCCAGTTGGGGTCATATGGGTGGTGACCATTCAGTGTGTCTCTCTCACATCAATGTTTCTCTCTCTTTCTTCTTCCCTCTCATCCTCCTGCTCTATCTGAAGATATATGCAAAAATGTCCTCAGGTGAGGATTAAAAAGAAAAACCCTTAAAAAAAAATCAGTGGAAAAAATATTCGCAGGAGAGAATTAACAACAAAAAAGAAGAAACAGGAAGGGAAAGGGGAGGCTGAACCCTCGGGTCGGGGTGAAGAGGCGACAGAGGGGGCTGCACCATCCTGGCCTGGCTGGAAGCTGCAGCCTGGGGACTGAAGACTGGCCAAGAGCGTCCCTTCCAATCTTTCTAATTATTTATTTAAGAGCTGACTGGTCTGGGCTGGGCTGCTCCGCCCACCCCGTCCAGCTGCAGGCTGTCCGGGTCCTGTGCTTGTGGTTAAGAGTAACTCAGAGCAGGGTGTCAGGCGCTGCCCTCCCCCTCCCTGCAGAGCCGGCCAAGGCCAAGGAAGCTGTTTCAGGGTAGCTGTTTCCGGGCCTGCCTTGGGACCCCACAGGTGGCCTGGAGAGAAAGACACTGGGTGCTTCCAGGGAGGCAGGACAGGATAATGGTCAGGGGCATGGGAGGGGTAGGGGCAGAAAGCTGGGCTCTCCCCCTTCTTAGTTGACCTTAGGCACCAGATGCCACCTCTGAGCCTCAGATCCTCACCTCTGAAACAAGATGAAAGTAGTATCCACCCCTGAGGTGGCAGGAGAATTAAACAAAATCACATAGCAAAGTCCTCAGCGTAGGCCTGGACAATGTCAGAGAGCAGAATATTGGGGAGGGCTTTTATTACTGTAATTAGTAGTTTTTTCCTTTAAAGAGGTCTTGTCAGACCCTGACCAGGTAGGTTAGTTAGTTCCATGGGTAGAGCATCGTTCCAATATGTGTCAAGGTCGTGTGTTCAGTCCCCAGTCAGGGCACATGGAAGAATCAAGCAATGAATACATAAACAAGTGGAACAACAAATTGATCTCTCTCTCCCTCTTTCTCGCTCTCTCTCCCTTCCTCTCTCTTTCTCAAGTCAATCAATCAAATAAATACATAAATAGCCCTGGTTAAAAGTGAGCTGGGCCACACACTGGGGCATCTGAGGGGACACAGGTCTGCCTTGGGGGTCTGAAGGGGCGCAGCCCTGTCAGGAGCTAATTCTGAAGGTCAATAACTACACAGCCATTCCTGTGACCATGTGGGTCTCATCTCTGAGGGCGGCTGGCCTGAAGGACTGGGACATTGTGAGTCTGGGACATTGCCACCTAAGACCGCCCAGGGCTACAGGAGTCCTGAGTACGGAGTGGTGCCCTTCACTGGGTGCAGCCAGCTGGATTCTAGGCGAAAGGTCCAAAGCCCCGCTACTCGCTTTCTGAGAGCAGGGGGGCTGGCGCCCTGGCTCCGGGAGGTATTAGTATTTGCACTTCAGCTCCAGGCGAGGGGCAGACCGAGTGCTGATTAACAGGCTCTGCACAAAGTCCTGCCAGAGCGTCAGCATTTTGAGGTGGAAAGGCAGGGTGAAGGGGGTTGCCCCTTGAACTCAAGTAAAGCAGGCCCATGAAATATGAGGGCATGGCGGCTGATGGGGTTCAGCGGTTGGAGCATCAGCTCATACACTGAAGGGTCTTGGGTTTGATTCCCGGTCAAGGGCACGTACCTGGGTTGCAGGTGCAATCCTGGGCTCCAGTCAGGGTCCTGTGGGAGGCAACCAATCGATGTGTCATTATTTTTTCAAATAGGTTTTGAATTTCTTGCTCTCTCTCTTCTTTAAAAAATATTTTTTTCTTTATTGATTTTTAGAGAGAAAGGAAGGAAGAGGGAGAGAGAGAGAGATAGAAACATCGATGAGAGAGAACATCAATTGGCTGCCTCCTGCATGCTCCCCACAGGGGATTTGGCCCACAACCTGGGCATGTGCCCTGACCGGAAATCAGACCAGTGACTCTTGGAGCATGGGTCAATGCTCAACCACTGAGCCACACTGGCTGGGCTCTCATCTCCTTCTGGCAACTCCATGATGCAAATGTTGGTATACTTGAAATTGTCCTAGAGGCTCCTTACACTGTCTTTATTTTTTTTTAGATTCTTTTTCTTTTTGCTGTTCTGATTGGGCGTGTTTTGCTTCCTTATATTCCAAATTGATGGTTTGCTTCTTGGCTCTACCTACTCTACTATTGATTCCCTGTAAATATTCTTTTTCTTTATTGATTTCAGAGAGAGAGGAAGGGAGAAGGAGAAAGATGGAAACATCGATGAGACAGAACATGAATTGGCCACCTCCTGCATGCCCCTCACTGGGAATTGGGCCCACAACCTGGGCATGTGCCCTGACTGGGAATTGAACCGGTGACCTCTTGGTACCTGGGTCGACGCTCAACCGATGAGCTGCACCGGCCAGGCTATTCCCTGTAAGTATTTTTTTTATCCTCACCTGGGGACATTTTTTTATTTTTTGTTCAGATAGAGTGGGAGGGAGAGAGAGGAAGAGAGAGAGAGAGAGAGAGAGAGAAACATCGACATGAAAGGGACAAATCGAGTGGTTGCCACCCACACGACCCAACCGGGACAAACTGCAACCGAGGTGCATGCCCTTAACGGGAACCAAACCTGGGTCTCTCTGGACCGCAGGCCGACGCTCTAACCACTGACCCAAACCGGCCAGGGCACCAAGCAGCTATTTCTACCCTGCCTCTCAATAGAGGAATTTAGCAAGTGAGCAAGAGGCTTCCTCTAAAGACTCCTGTCCTTGGAGTTAGGTCTGCAGGATGCTATGCATCTACTGAGTCGTTCCCTAGGCCCAGCCAGGATCTGGGTTCTAGCACCGGTTCTGGAACATAGTGGGCTGTTCTCTCTGCCTGGAACCTTTCCTCCACCTCCAGCTCTTAGCCTGCTGTGACCATGAAGGGGATTTCTAAAGGCAGGGGCTGCCAAAGGGGGCCAATACGGAAGAGAACAGTCTGACAGGCCAGGCCTGGCTTCATGCATCATTTAAGCTCCTAGAACCAGCTATGCCTGAAGTCAGCAAACTCGGTGATGTCTCACTCAGATGAGCCAATCAGTTCCTGATTTCTCTGAAGACAACTACAGTTGGGATTTCAGCCACTTGAAGCCCAAAGGGGAGTTAGGCGGGTGAAAGGCACTGGGGAGTAAGCTCCCTCCTGGAGAAGGGAAAGGCATGAGCAAACAGGAGTGGGTGGGAACATGGCCCATTTCAAGGGACAGACAGCAGATTATCGAGGTGGCTGTAATGTGGAATTTACGAGGGGTCCTAGTGGGGTCATGGTGCAACCTTCTGGTTGGAAGACGAAGAGCAGCCCTGCCCGGTTTGGCTCAGCGGTTAGAGCACTGGCCCTCAGACCAAAGGGACATGGGTTTGATTCCCAGTTAAGGGTACATACCTAGGTTGCAGGTTCAATCCCTGGCCCTGGTTGGGGTTGTGCAGGAGGCAACCAGTCAATGTGTTTCTCTCACATTGATATTTCTCTCTCTCCCTCCTTTCCTTCAACTCTATCTAAAAATCAATGGAAAACCATCCTCGGGTGAGGATGAACAAATACACAAACAAAGAAAAACCAAAAACAAAAAGAAAAAAAAAATCTAACTATCTTCAGGGGAAGAAGCTGAGGAAAAGCTGTGAGTTTGGGCACAGGAGCAAGTCAGGGATGTCCACTTTCACCACTCGTATTTAACATAGTACTGGAAGTCTTAGCCACAGCAATCAGACAAGAAGAAAACTTATATAAAAGGGATTCAAATTGGAAAGGAAGAAGTGAAACTGTCATTATTCGCAGGTGACATGATATTGTACATAGAAAACCCTAAAGACTCGATCAAAAAAACAGAGAGTCCGGCCAGTGTGGCTCAGTGGCTGAGCGTCGACCCATGCACCAAGAGGTCACAGGTTTGATTCCCGGTCAGGGCACATGCCCAGGTTGTGGGCCAAATCCCCAGTGGGGGGCATGCAGGCGGCGGCCAATCGATGTTCTCTCTCATCGTTGTTTCTATCTCTCTCTCCCTCTCCCTTCCTCTCTCTAAAAATCAATAAAAAACCCCAAAAAACAAAAAACAAAAAGATGAAGGGACAAGGCCCAGTTATGGAGCCTGGGAAGGAACCAAAGGCTTTGTTCTTTGGGGAGCAGCAGGAGCCAGGAAAGGGTTTACGCTGCAGAACGACAAATCTGCGTCTTGGGAGCAAGCCCCTGCACTCTGACCCATTTGCTGGGGGACGCGGAAACTGGCAGGGCCTCCGTGGAAAAGCACCAGGCATGAGGCAATAGGCGTTCATGTCAGACCTCCCACACCTTTTGGCACCCCGCTTCTTGTTTGTGGGGTTTACTCCCAGGGAGAAAAATCACCAAAGCTTGTGTTCGCCAAAGACTGGAGACAAGCTAAGCACACCCATCAGGAAGAATAAAACTTGACAGACTACATTTGAAGGTCTAATTGGTTTTATTAGGCAGCTCACTAACTTGGCAGAATGCCATCTAGCATATGGAAGGGTGGAAGGTCTTCAGAGGAAGTGGGGCGAGGCAAGGGAACTATTACCAACAGGAAAAAAATAATTATTTTTAGACCAGGACACCTTTGGGGAGCAGGGAATGTTGAGGATTTTTATCATGTGTATTGCCCCTTCTTTCTATGGGGGTGGGGCCCACATTGACCAGAACATTCCAGATTGGTTGATTAAGATTATGTTTCCTGCCCTGGCCAGTTTGGCTCAGCGGTTAGAGCATCGGCCTGCAGTCCAGAGAGACCCGGGTTCGGTTCCCGCTAAGGGCACATACTTCGGTTGCAGTTTGTCCCTGGCCCTGGTTGGGTCGTGCGGGTGGCAGCCACTCAATGTGTCCCTTTCACATCGATGTTTCTCTCTTCCTCTCTCTCTTCCTCTCTCTCCCTCCCACTCTATCTGAACAAAAAGATGGGGAAAAAATGTCCTCGGGTAAGGATAAAAAAAAAAAAAAAAAAAAGATGATGTTTCCTGGAAAGGTTGAAAGAGCAATTAAGTCAGATATTAAGTCTAGGTTTGCACCACAAGTGGCACCAGGCACTCCCTTGGGCATGTGGTCTTCTCTTCACCAGCAAAATATCATATGGCCCATTCATGCAATGGAATATTACACAACTTTACAAGAGAATGAGCTCAGTCTCTGTGTATTATAGTGTTGTGCTGGTAAGTACTTAACTACTGGCTCTGGGGGGGAGGAAATGGCCTGTTTTGTAGTGTTTGCCAATGTCTGTGTGTAAATACTCCCACCATGGCTGATTTTCAACTACCAACGAGACTACACCGAATGCAGAATGTGGAAGCGATAGACAATAGCGTGCCATGATGTACTATTTCTACCATGGAGATACAAACAACATAAAAAACACATATAAAAGAAGTGATTTATTGTGACTACTTACCATCTTTCTGTTTAATATAATTTATTTTATTGTAAGTTTATATAAGTTAATTTTTAGTAATGACTGTGTTTAACAACCGGCTCTCACAGACTGTGACAAGCCAGCCCAGAACACCACTGAGACATGTCCAAGATGACAAAGCCAAAGCTGGCTTTTCAACAAGGCTCTACAGGATTGTGTCTACCCCCTCCTCTTCCCTCACTCACGCCTCTCCAGCCCTTACCACCGTGATAACCACATGACTCTTTCTTACCTCTTTCAGGCCTTTGCTGAAATGTCACCTTTTACCCGGGCCTTCTCTGATCAGCCTGTAAAAACACAGAAACCTGCCTCCCAACACTCCAGCTTCTTTGCTTGCTTTATGCTTAACCAATAGCCCTTACTTTGCCATCTAACCTACTATGTAATGTTGAAACGTGCCTGTTGTTTTATTTATCTTCTGTCTGTCTTCCCCACTAGAATGTCAGCTCCAGGAAGTAGGAAGTTTTGTCTGTTTTCTCTCTGATGTATCACCAGTGCCTGGCATATAGTAGGTGCTCAATAAAAGTGTATTGACTATGCCCAGCTGGTGTGGTTCAGTGGATTGAGCATCATCTCATGGACTGAGAGGTCCTGGTTCGATTCCTGGTCACATGCCCAGGTTGTGGGCTCAATCCCCAGTGGGGGGCATGCAGGAGGCAGCCTATCGATGTATCTCTCTCCAGTTGATGTTTCTCTCTTGCACGTAGATGTTTCTCTCTCTCTCTCTCTCTCTCTCTCTCTCTCTCTCTCTTCCTCTCCCTCTAAAAAATCAATTAAAATATTTTTTCAAAAAGTGTGTTGAGCCCTGGCCGGTTTGGCTCAGCGGTTGGAGTGTCAGCCTTCGGACCAGAGAGTCCTAGGTTCGGTTCCTGGTAGGGGCACGTACCAACAAAAAAAAAGTGTATTGACTAGATAAATATGGGCATACCTCCTCTTATTGAGCTTGACAGATGTTGTGTTTTTTATAAATTGAAGCATGACTCTCCACCAGCAAAAACATTATGACTCATTTTTGTTTTGTTTTTTTAATTTTTTATTGATTTTTGGAGAAAGAGGAAGGGAGAGAGAGAAAAAGAAACATCGATGAGAACAAAACATTGATCAGTCGCCTCCTGCACTCCCCCTACTGAGGATCGAGCCCCCAACCCAGGCGTGTGCCCTGACCAGGAATCCATCTGGTAACCTTTTGGTGCAGGGGATGACGTTCAACCAACTGAGCCACACCAACCAGGGGCATGACTCATTTTATTGTGGTGTCCTGGAACTGAACCCACTACATCTCCGAGGTATGCCTGTATATACTTAAGTTTAAAAATAAGGTGCAGAATCATGTTAATAACTTGATAGTATTTCACCATCTGTGCTTACATGGGCTAGACCATCTCTGGGAGAAAACCCAAGAAGCTGGCGGCTCCCGTGCCTCCCAGGAGGGGCCCCAAGGGGAGGGGAGGAAAGAAGGCATTCACTGTGTTCCCTCCTGTACCTCTGGAAATCTGTGCTCTGTGCCCTTAATTACCTATTAACATTTTTGAAATGTTCTATAAAAAGTACCGCCTCCAGCTACTGTGGGCAGCAGGGACACAGAGGAAGGTAAGCCTGGGCCCGAAGGAGGCCTGGGCAGTGACCCGGGAGCAGACTGGACAGGGCAGCCAAGCCATCACGGCCTGTTCCAAAAGGTCCTGCCATGGAATGTTCTGCATGAAACCTTTAGAAGGCTCTGGGAGGCGAGGCCAGTCCCTCGGGTCAGGCCTTGGCAAGTCAGCCAGATGGATCTCCCAGAAAGGCACTTTGGCCACCTCTGCCCCAGCATGAGAAGATTCCAGGAAGACCAGGCC